TTATCCTCCCAGGCACTAAATATATTTTCCAAAAGTTCAACACTTGTCGAGCTACCTCTTCTGAATCCAAACTGTTTCCTGTGTAGAATTTTGCTTGCACTAAAGTGAGTTTGTAGCTGATCCAGTATAATCTTCTCAAAAATTTTACTGAAAGTAGGCAACACTGAAATTGGTCTATAATTTGTAGGATCAGACGTTCTACCCGCCTTGAATAAGGGAATGATCTTACTATGTTTCATCAAATCAGGAAATACACCACATTCAATGCACCTATTGAAAATTAAGGCCAACTCATGCAACTACGCTAATAATTGATTTAGTTATTTGTACAGAATTACCCCAAAGGTCGGCGGTTTTCTTAACACTAAGAGCATTGAACGTTTTTATTATATCTCTATCAGTGATACAACTAAATCTAAACTCAGTATTACAAATGTTAATATTCTCTTTCAATAAAGATTCTGCAATAGTGGGGGACGTATTCAATGATTCTGTTATTGAGATTGGAATGTCTGTGATTTTTTTTTCAAAAGCTGTGGCGACATCTATATCGGAATTAATTACTGTATTATCAATTGTAAGGCTATAATTATTACATTTGTTTTTTGCTTTACCAGTTTCTGTATTAATTATTTCCCAGGTCATTCTAATTTTATTTGAACTATTACTAATTTTAGACCTTAAATAGTTAACCTTTGCAGAATAACATTTTTTTTTTTAATAAATTAGAATATTGTTTGACATATTCTCGAAATTCATTACTAGTATTATAATTTCTTTCTTCATAAAGCTCATAAAGCCTTGTTCTACTTTTATATATACCTACGGTGGCCCATTCACTGAAGGTTGTAGCACCTTTAACTGACAACTTCTTAGGAGTGAAAGTTGATTTAAAGTTGATTAAATTCTGAACAATACATGTTAAAAAAAGCGTTATATAATTGATTAGGATCATCACTATAACCCAAGTGGGGATTATAACCCAAGCATACCCTCACTCCATGAGAATCTTCAGTACCAATTTTCTAATGCTCCGCGGAATTTTAATGTAGTCCATATCAATGCCCAGAGTATTCCAGCTCATTTCCTTGATATACTGGCGACCTTTGATTGCAAAAACATTCACGCCATTTTAGTTTCAGAGACATGGTTAAAACCGTGCCTTCCTTCTACACCATATACTCTTCCTGGTTTCAATCTCATAAGGAATGACCGTGCGATCGGTGGTGGGGGTGGTGTTGGCATATATCTGCGACAGCACATTCCCTTTACCATTGTAAACATGTCGTCACAGCCCCCATCACCGGACGCTGGCGAGCACCTCTTTATAGAACTAGTAGTTAATCATGCATTTTACTTGGTGTTTACTATTCTCCCTCGTTACGTACTAATTACTTTTTCTCTTTTGAAAAATTACTAGAAATCTTATCTCCCTCTTATAGTCACACATTAATAAGGGGCGATTTCAATACCTGCTTGATGAAAAATGACCATCGCTCTTCTTCACTACGCAGAATTGTGGACTGTAATAACTTATCACTCTTAACACTTGATGGTACACATCACTTCCCTAACTGCACTCCCTCTCTTCTTGTTCTTATCTTAGTCTCTTCTACTGATCATGTCATCAGCCATGGTCAGTATTCCGCTGATGCTTTCTCCTATCATGACTTGATATTTCTCTCTTATGCTATCCGACTACCCAAGGCAAAGCCGAGAATTTCTGTGCAGCGTAATTTTGGCGCGATGAATCTTGTAAGACTTAAGGAAGATGCGCGAAACATCAACTGGAACAATTTGTTAAATTCGCAGTGTGTTTCGCATATATATGTGTATATGTATATTTGCTGGTATAGTATGTAGGTACTTATATATATGTAGGTTTATTTATTGTGATATGCATTGTAGATGTAAGTATCATCATCATCAACAGCCTATAACAGTCCACTGCTGGACATAGGCCTCTCCTTAGAAAGGAGGTTTTGGCCTACTATACCACACTGGCCAGACGGGTTGGTATAGGGTTTGTTTCAAGTTTTCCTTCTCTTTGCAGTGCTGTTGTCCTGCGTAGTTTGATCCCTTAGTCGGCTCTTACGACACCCACGGGATGAATAGGGGTGGTGACATTACGTATTCTTATTCCGTCACTACACGGACATTATCCACACGGATGTAAGTATAAAAATTGTAAATGTTTGTAGATATTATAATATGTGTTGTATATGTCATATGTACAGTAGATAATAATAAACAAATAGTAGGTTCACAAATGCAGATATTCAACTACTACTGTCTCTCTGCAACTTTTGTTCCATCCTAAGGTTGCCTGGAAGAAATTGCATTTAGCAATAAGGCCGCCCTTTGTACACTCGATGTTTGATCGTTGTGTTCCTTTCTTGAAACTCTGTAATGTAGTGTGCAAATAAAGAGTTATCTATCTAAAAACGAAAAAAAATAAGGAGTAACCTGCTCTGTTGTATGAAAACGTCAACAACAACAATGATGTTTTGGGTGGCGTGACGTAACACTTTCTGATTGGTGTTAACTTACTGCCTATTTTGTTCAATTTTTTTTAATTATTAATATTCTTTAACTTTTATGAGAAATAGACTGGTTTTTTCTTAACTATGTCTCTTTATTTATAATTTGAAACTATAAACCAAGCAATTTTTTATTCGTGGACACAAGCCTATTAATTATTCCACACTGACACCACATTAGTAGTATCTACATTGCACCCTTGCGATGGCGTGCCGGGGCGGATCGCATGTAACTAAATGAGGTATACTTATTAACTTTTGTTTATTTGTGAATTGAATATTTTTTATGTGTATTTGAATAATATATTATATTTGATCATGATAGAATTCCACTGATCTCTATTATACAAGTGTAGACCGTATAATAGAGGTCAGTGCCTAATTCCTTTAGCACTATCTCTATGGTAAGAAGCTTGCTATTGGTAAACGAGTATTTGGCAAAAAAACTTGCTGAAAACTCATGTATATTTATGACATTTAACAATACATTATTATAAATATTACCTATTGTAAACGTTTTGTAAAAATGTATTTCTTATTTTGCAATGCGTGAAACCATATCCTTGATTGTTATTGAGTATATAATTATATTTTTAAATTAAAAATGAACTGCAGAAGAAAGACATCTGTTGAGTAAGTGTCTTTTCTCGTTAATACTCGTATCGGCACTGAGCTCGACTGAAGGTAATATTCTTGATATATTTTAAAGAACGTACTTACAAAGGATAGTAAATAGGTAAACCTTAGGTAATTAGTAATTTATTCTCTTCAGAAAAAGCACTTAGCTATTACGAGCAATTGAATATGCAAGAAGAGCCGACTAAGGGAACAAACTGCACAGGGCAACAGCACTGCAAAAAGAAGGAAAACTTGAAACAAACCCTATACCAACCCGTCTGGCCAGCGTGGTATAGTAGGCCAAAACCTCCTTTCTAATTCTTTCTTTCTCCTATGTCCAGCAGTGGACTATTATAGGCAGTTGATGACGATGATGATGATGAATTTGCAAACTTAGAATATTTCGTTCGTAATGGAAAATGAAAAATATGTATTTATTAATGCACTTTACTTAGAAGTTATTTACTAAACAGGCTACTTCAAGACTTGTACTTGACTTGTACTTCAAGATTAGGTTGAGAGGTTATATGACGGCCTCTTCTACTAGTTAATGCAGATATTTCTAATAAGTAGAATGAATATACACCCTCTCCCTAGTTGAATGCTTAGCGTTGGCGTAGAAAACTTCCCCACGTCACATCTGATATCCGTTTTTCGAATCCTTTTGCTGTATACAAGAATTTCAGGCCTTGCTTTCGAAATGAGGTTGGGTGCGAGCTTATTCGCTTAGGTTATTCATTGGTACTTTCTGGGATTGTGTTGCTTATCGTGTTATTGAGTTATTGAGTTCCATGCTACAAATAAAAATTTTCTCTAGATGCGTAACTAAGCCTAAAAAATGGTTCCACGAAATATAAGCCGCGGCGGGCGAAGCGTAGAATATGCACCAGCGTGGCACATAAGTACGCCGTAACACTCGTGTTGAGCGGTTGTACTAGGGAAGTTTCGATTGTGCTTATTAATGTGTTTGTGCGCTATTTCATTTATTTCGTTATTGCAAATATGCCGCCATGTGTCGTGAAGTTTTGTACACCTATATTAACATTCTCAGTTGCTTTATAAACGAGTTGGAATAATTTTAAGAATTTATTAGGTCCGAGTATCGATTTGAACTTGTGATCAGAGTAAAGAAGGATTATCTTTTGGCACCAATTGGTTTTCACTTAGCTTCAAGTAAAATATACTTCATTATTATCATCATCAAACAGCTCTTATTAGTAAATTGCTGGACATAGAAAGTAGGCATTGGCCGAGTAAACAACGCTGCTCAGACGGGTTAGTATAGGATTTATTTCAAGTTTTCTTTCTCTATGCAGGGCTGTTGTCCTGCGTAGTTTGCTCCCTTAGTCGGCTCTTACGACTCCCACGTGATGAATAAGCGTGGTGACAATCCGTATTCCTAAACAAATGTATTGTCCTAATCCTAACTTTCTAACAATCCTAAGTAATGTTAAAAATTTGTTTGTAACGCATTAATTACTTAAACGATTATCACACTATGTTGTATACACATTGATAAGGGATGAAACATAGGCTATCTGCCATCCTGTAAGTGTACTATGCCCTAGGGATACAGTAATAGCCTTACCACGAGTGAAGCCGCTGACAAAATATACTTTTCTTGTAATATTTTAAATGCGCACGTGCATTTAGTTTGTTGTTTCGCTTTTACGTCTGAACTACTATCTATACAACCTAACGCAAGCAGTGAAATAAACTATCATAATAAAAAAGGTACCTATATTCTGAATATGTACTGCAGTGCTGCCACAGCGTCGAATTTCAAACAGTTAGAAATTCGAAGCTGTGGCAGCGCTGTACGCGTTTCCTTAGAGAATAGCAATGCCTATATCGCCAAACGGGCATGCATCGAGATATAAGTACTACGTACACTTATATCTCGATGCGGGCATGCAAAAGCGTACTAAAGGTATCATATTTTAGTGCCAATTAGGTAACAGGACACTAGAGGATAGATGGGAAAATTAGGAGAATTAATTATGACAATAAGAGAAAGCAATGGTAGGCAAAGTATGGGGTCTACCAATAAGAACGTCCTGGTTTAAAAATTGAATAAAACACACAATTTTTTATGAAAAATGCATCCGATTGATTTATTTGATAGATAATTTTATGCAATTTATGTTTTAAATAATATATCGGCCAAATGAACGCCGCGGCTCTTTTTGCAGACGGTCACTCGCTCACGCCAATTTTCGATGACGCGGTGCACTATTTCGGCCGGTATGTCGGCTATGGCTCGTCGAATGTTGGTTTTAGGTCATGAATTGTAGCTGGATTATTGCTGTACACTTTATATTTAACGTAACCCCAAAGAAAATAGTCTAAAGGTGTTAAATCACACGATCTTGGTGGCCAACTGATCGGTCCATTTCTCGAAATTAACGACTCCCCAAACTTTCCACGCAAGGTGAGATGGTGCACCGTCTTGTTGAAAATAAAAGTCGTCTGCATCAATATCAACAAATAAAGGAAAGAAATATTCGGTTAACATCGAGTTATAGCGCTCGCCATTCACAGTAACAGGGTTTCCTTCGTCACTTTCAAAGAAGTACGGACCAATGATTCCACCGTACCATAAAACGACCCAAACTGTTATTTTTTGCGGATGCAATGGTGATTCATGTACCACACGTGGATTTGACTCTCTCCAATAGCGACAATTTTGTTTATTAACAAATCCATTGAGCCAGAAATGGACCTCAACTGAGAAGATGATTTTACGATGAAAATCGTCATCGGCTTCCATCATTTCCAGTGCATAATCGGCAAATTCACGACGGATACAATGGTCGGATGGCTTCAATTCTTGTGCCAAAACAATTTTGTATGGGTGTAGGCCCAAATCCAACCGCAAAATACGCCAGGTGGTCATTGGAGAGAGCCCCAACTCTTGTGAACGGCGTTGAACTGATCGATTTGAATTCGCCTCAACACTGGCCTGAACGGCTGCGATATTCTCTTCACTACGGGCATTTCCTTGTCTCACAGGCACAGCAGTATCATGGAGAGTGAATTCACTTTCAAATTTTGTTATTATGCGATTTATAGCGTGCACAGAAGGAGCACTATGACGACACGGTAGGAGAACGCGAATTTGCGTTATAATTTTGGTCAATTTCCAAGCGTTGGTTTAAAGTGAAACGTGACATGATAAAATTTCAAACCTTACTGAACACAAATGTCAAGAGACGTCAAAGATCCATCATCAAACATGGCCGCTATGAGCTGTCAAAACCAGGTCATCCCTATTGGTAGACCCTGTACATCGCTTATTGATTGGAGAATATGAGTAATAGCTCGAACAATATGGAACAATTCAATATGGTACCGTTTGTATTGTACCGTTAATATTATTTTTCGCTTTTGGCTTTTTGGCTCATCTTGCCATTACTCGCGCTTTTATTGCATCTCAAGGTCATCACTTGTATATATTATATTAGTAAATGCAGTTCTTGTTTTTCCTCTAGTAATAAAACGCCAACCAATAAGTGAATGAGCTGATAACAATGAATGAATACTACCTCTAATTCAAAAACTTAATTTCCAGATCAAAGGAACAAAAGAAGAAAGAGGATACTGCTCCAAGCATATCTTATTTCACATTGGTATGGACACCGATTTATTATAATTTTTTATTTTATTGTTATTTGGCAAAATTTGGGGTGTTCTTGATAAAAAATGTGATCTGTAGAAACATTAAGGTAAAATAAACCGAAACGCATTAAGGATACATCTATAGGAACTATTAAATAGCTAAAAAAGTGTTTTTGTGTCAGTAAGTTCTGTGATAAAGGGTTAGGCTAAAGAGGCGACCGTTCGTGTTATCACTAATGACGCAGGTTCTTAACGATAGGTGCTTTAAATTTCAAGAATTTAAGGCAATCTTTTGGCTTTTCCTACACGGGTACTTCACCTTATGAGTCACCACTGCCACTATTAGACTGCCTAAACGGATGGCCATCACACTCATCACCCAAGCGAATTCAGAATCTATACGTTGGAGAACTAGCTGTTTGATTCTCGGCATGCTTATATTTTGTTAGATAGTGTCATAATACTAAAGTCAACGCGACATAGATGTGATTTGTGAAGTTTTTAAATTATTGAAATTATCACAAAAACAATAAAGATTCCTTCGATTGCAGATTATGGATTTTCTGTACCAAAAATATTGTTCAATGTCCCACTGCCGCTCACTGACTATAAAGTATTGTCTGTTTTTTAGAAATTATTTTTCAATTGTTCCATCACTTTTTACACACGCAAACATTGCTTATAATGTTTTGTTTTTTTCAGTACAGGTTCGCATCTAGAAAGGATAAATTATTGATTAGTGTAGCATTGACTGCATCTTTGATCGCGGGTTTGATACTTCCTTATGCGATCACACTTGTAGCAAACATCTTCCAAACTATGATAACATATGATAAGTCTAGGAAAGGGGGGAAACGGGACGATACAGAATTCCTAATGAATATGCATAAATTCGGGATCAATTACTCTTGTGTCGGAGTTGTGCTATTTACATGTGTCTATCTAGGAAATGCCTTCATGAATATTACTGCTATTAACCAGGTAGGAAATCAATTTAATAATATTGAGAAAATATAACTTGCTCTTGACAGGTTCATGTACAAAGGGAAAGCCAACCTTTGTCGTGTTAAAGGGAAAACCAACTAAATGCCAATAAAAAAAAAGAGATAGAAATACATTTTTTCTTAAAAAAACGAGATCTTTCTAAAACCAACTTTGCAATATAATGAACAGTTAAATCGATAGTGAATGGGAATAACCACTAAAGTAGGAATTATCATAAAAACTTGAGACTGAAAAGAAATTATTACAAAATATTCTCGTTTTCTATTTTATATCTTCGATTAAAAGATATTATTCTAGTAAATCTCTTTTTAATGCTAAACGCTGATTTGGTTTCCATTTTTTATCTAGGTATACGCAAAATTTACTAACAGGCAGAGACGGATTAAGGCAAGCATCTCATTGACACCCCCCCCCCGTCCTGGCCTTCTACAACGCCCATATGTGTGATAGTAATGAATATAAAATTTAAAACCACTCACTGCATCTGAAATAGGAGGTATCCGATGACAGCTTATATTTAGAAGTTTTCACGGCATTCTTTTTTTTGGTGACAGATGGCTTCACCAGTCACCCCCAGGCCTGCACTTATGCACTCCCTGTCCTCTCCTGTCCCTCCACTGTCCCCTCACTCATCTTTCCACAGACCCCATCGACTTTACTGCCTTACTCCCGCTCACTTTTTAATAGGATGACCACTCACTACTTATCCATATTCACAAGTTTTGGAGAAAGATGTTACTATTATTGACCGCTACAAAAGGATTGAGTACATCCGACAACATTTTTTCATCCTGGGGGGAATATGTCGAGAATCAAACCTCGATCCTCGACATCGCGGTGGGCCGGTGCTTACAACCGGCTGAACCGCTAGCAAACGGCTCCCACCACGATTGCCATTATGTACTACCACTCGCATTCTCGAACTCGAACGGGATCACTGCTCTTTCAACGTACCCCTTGTAAACATTAAAAACCAGCGCAACATACAGTCCACTTTTATTTATCCACTAACACCGAGACCTTAACAATGTATACAGACGACATATATATGTATTGTGGCAGAAACTCCAGAGGGGCTTATGACGGGTTGTGTCGTAGATTTGGTCTTAAAATTAGTGTTAAAAAGATCGAAGTGATGGTCCAAGGTACACCGAATAGTAGTCGACAGAGTTGGAGCACCCGCTGCAGCCTATGGCAAACTCCGCTTCGCGGTGTCCCGTTCACATAAAGTTCCCCACGAAAATAGTTGTGTACATGGCAATCGTCCTGCCCAATTTCCTGTACGACTACGAATCGCGTTGCTTGTACCGGAAACATATCCGCACGTTAGATAGATCCCACCTTAAATGCCTACCTTGACCCGTCGCAGTGGAAAGCAGTGGCGATGGACAGGCCGTACGGCTGTACACATTACGGCGCACAGTACGTCTCGTACTGTGCGCCCTAAGGCGTTCGTGTTCGAAAGACGATGGAAAGAAGAGCTCGATGGCAAACAGGATGAGCTCAAAGTCCGACTACCGGCGGCCATACCTTATAATCATATCGGGGAAGGTGCTGACTTGCAGTAAATGTGCCCGGCAAAAATCGGATATGTCAGTAACCTGAGAGAACATCAAAGAAGCTCTCACTAACCCATATCCAGATGCCGCCGCGGCTAAATACGGTCTGAACCTGTATATAATATATATATATATATATATATTTAATAGGTCAATATTTAAGAAAATAGGAAAATGGACGGTTGTTAAGTATTTAGCAATATTAGTAAACTAAAACGAAATAAAATGAAATTATTACAGACTTGCGGAACACATCAATTGTTGAGCTAAAAAGAAAAATAAATTCTTCTAACTATAGTCTTTGACGCAACTTACATTAAAATTAATTTCATCGGAGATTTTCTTTGTCTAACTTTCATAATGTTATATCTCGTTTTGACAATTTGGTCACTTGGTCGGTTTTGCCATTAACACGACGACCTATTAATCGCAAAAACCGCTGACTACGTTGGTTGAAAACCTGAAACCTGGCAATAAAAGGAAAATTTATTATTATAAATATAGAAATGTTTACTTTGTCTTTCTTATTTTAACATTTATTGTATTAATTTGGTATGTTAGTACCACAGCTGTATAAGAATTTAGTTGTAGGCCATGAATATTTGAATACTATTTGGTAGCTACTTGTATTGGTACATTTTCTACCCCAGTCAACTTATGTCTTTCTGATATTAGATCTATAGATTGCGAAGAGAATACTTAAAGGTTGCATTAAATCAAGACTTTGCCTATTTTGATGTTCATCAAACCACAGATTTTGCATCTAAGATGGCTGAGTAAGTATTATTTCTGATTTCTAATATTCATTTTTCTAGACAATGTGTTTTACTAGTCCTGCAGTTGTTGAAATGTTTGTGTTGGTCAAAGTACTTACCTTCATTAAATATTTGGAATTATTATTTCTTACTTTTAACCAAGCGACTTATACCTGGTAATATAATATATCCATTTCTTAACTGGAAGTAAGTTTCGAAATTCTAAGAATTCTAATGTTGTGTAAAAAATTTCGTGAATTATTGGTAATAATTTTTGGATTCCGTCGTTTGGTAGGTTTTTGAAATTAAAACAAATATAATTAAATTACAGTGACGTGATAAAATTAGAAGAAGGTATCGGAGACAAAGTGCCATCGTTCATATACAGCGTGACCACTGCTATTGGGTGTATATGTATGGCTGTCTTTAAAGGATGGAAGCTGGCTCTTCTTTGTCTCATTACTACACCCGTCACATTCGCGCTAGTCGGTTTAACTGGAAGGGTATGGTACATTTTACTAAACTTTATTACACTCCTAGTGTATTCATTTATATCGATTGGATAATAAAACAAACGCTTATAGACTAGTACTAGGTCATATAGGCATTGTATTTGCTAATTATTTTATCTGTTTGTTTTAGTTTGTCTTTGTTTAAATCCTTTCCTAAAAGTTTGTGTTACCTTATAAGCTACCTGGTTGAAAATTAACATACCTAATAAAGCTTTACTTCAGGACTGTTTAGTTTTTTATCTTAGTGTAAAATGGACTGATATTTTCTTCCGATAATAAACTCCCGATATTCAACAATTTGGGTACAGACACATGCGGGGTACGTCGTCGTATGATTCGAATTATCATCATCACATATAAGTAAATGTGCGAGTAAATCTTTGTTATTTTAATTGTTTAGATAACTTTTGCTATTAATTTGTATTTATTTGTCAATATAAACAGATAGCAGATCGTCTGTACAAAAAAGAGGCAATACAAACAGGTCACGCAAGTGCTATAGCACATGAAGTAATAAGTTCTATAAGAACTGTTTATGCTTTTAATGGCCAAAAGAAAGAGTTGGAGAGATATACAAAACCTCTTGCTAAATCTAAGAAGATTTATATTAAAAAGGGTGAGTAGTTCCTACTCTTATAATTATTCCACTAGCTTTTTTTTTTCTTTTTATGGAATAGGGGCAAACGAGCAGACGGGTCACCTGATGGAAAGCGACTACCGCCGCCACTGAACGCCTGCAACTCAGGAGCCACAAGCGCGTTGCCAGCCTTTGAGGAAGGAGTCTTTTTATAAAAGAAATGTACCTGAATTATCTATGAGAATGGTATGGTGAAGTGGGCAAAAGAGAAGATGGGTTGTTAAGTGACTACCACAGCCCATGCAATCAATCTGCAACTGCCTTTGGAGTCCCCTCCAAAATTAGGGGGATTTTGAGGAATCGGTAATCTCACTTTACATCGGTATTCTGCGAGACTGTGGTTTCATTTCAGCCCCATTTGTGTTAATGCATCTTAACAAAGGTTACAACTAAAAGTAGAGGGCTCCTTAAATTAATTCAAATGATTAACAATGGGTTGAAATCTAATCTAGTTAAAAACAAGTGTCGTTACTAATATACCATCGAAATTTTACATTAAAATGCTTTCTCAATTAATGCAATGAATGAAATCGAAGATGCACAGCTCGGCAACTTATAACAATATTTTCACAGAATTCTTCACGGGCCTGTCCATGGGTTTTCTGTTTATCTGCGTGTTTAGTTCTTACGCATTATCATTCTATTTTGGGATATATTTGGTTGTTAATGATCCCAAACATTATAATGCGGATGTCATGTTTTCGGTGAGTACTACCAGCTGTCTGTTATTACATTCACTACTTAATTGATTTCTCCTACTTCTTTAATGGGCATTTTTAAATGAAATGAGTCTCATTACGAGTATGTGCCGTCTAGGGAAACTAAAAGTTGATGCATATAGGACGCGATGCTGATGCCTTCCGTTATCATGAATAGTTTAATTTGCAACATTTGCATGTAGTACGAGTTTATTTAGACTGGCTTTTGTCCGCGGCTCCGCCCGCGTGTATTCCGGTTATCACGGTAAATAGTAGCATAATATTACTCGCTGATAGTGTTGCTTTCTATTGGTGAAAATATTTTTAAAATCGGTTTATTGCTTGAGTCGTAAAAGCGTAATAAACAAGCAAACAAAAAACAAACAAACAAACTCACTTTCACATTTATAATTTAAGTATGGAAGAATGGATTAACTTGATCTTCGACTGAGAGCTCGTTGGGCGTTAAGATTGGTGAAGAGTTCAGTGCGGGCCCATCGCAACGCCGAACGCTGTTCAGTTGAAGTCGAGGGTCTAATCATGGAAAATAAACTCGCACTAAACCCCAGAACTACGAGCCAAATGTAGTGTAGTGACGGTCTTTCAGTAACGGTGGTATAGCAGTGACCAGGACTCCAACCAATCCATAAATGATAGACAACAAATAAATAAAAGTGTTGAGTACCGAATAGCTCGAATTATTTAGGAGTAGTAGGAGTAATTGTAGTAGCAACATTATATAAATAATTTCTTCCAAAACGTCAGAAAATATACGAGACCTTAAACGTACCTAAATCCGCAGATTTTATAGTTTTTATTTTTTTATGATCTATAAAAGTAACATTAAATGCGATGAAATTATTTACGAATATATAACATGTTATAAAATTAATTAAAATTATAGATAGTAGTAGATTTCAAATAAGCTGTTTGTAATTAATATAAAAAATGTTTCCATAAATTTTAGGTATTTTTTGGTATTATGACAGCTCTTGGAAATTTGGGCCTGGTTGGCTCTCTAGTCCGGTCTTTCGGGGTGGCGCGCGGTGCTGGTGCTCAGATTTATCGTCTCCTGGACAGTGTCCCTACAATCAATCCATTATTAGATCGTGGACTGAAACCTTTGACGGCTGAAGGCGTTATTGAATTTAAGAATGTTGATTTTTATTATCCCTCTAGACCTGACGTGCCGGTGAGTATTTTGTGAGATTATATACATCTCTATTATTTGCTTCTGAAACTAAAAATCACACCTATTCGTGTTCTCATTTTGTTGTAAAGAAAGACCGTTAGTAAAATTTCATATCACAAACAGTACCTAACTAACTGTGTAGCATTCGTATTCTATAAATATTCCAAATTTCCCCACCTATCTCATAGGTATAGCTTGTAATCTTGTGGAAGTGAAATGTGTCCTAATACTTAGTTGATGAAAATGTAGAGCGCAAACATTGTTCTCCATTTTGCAGATACTAAAGGGCGTAAGTCTAAGCGTAAAACACGGATATTCGGTAGCTTTAGTCGGCCACTCCGGCTGCGGCAAGTCCACTATAATACAACTCATTTCTAGATACTACGACGTCTGCAATGGAAGTGTAAGTTTAATTCATAAATGTAAATATTTGTATCAGGAAATAAAATACCTTCAATAATAAATCCATATTTGTTTGAACTTTTGATTCATAGACAGCAAAGTTTCGTAATATAAGGACATAAGAAATAGGATAAATATATGGAGCGCCCAAGGCAGGATCTAGGATCCCATCCCCTTGGGATGGGGTCTGTCGCGTACGCTATCAAGTAGGGTAGAGGTCCTTTAAGTTAAAAGCTAGACCTGCCAATAAGCCTTACAGCACTAATTCTCTTTCCATCTGCTTGTTAGTAAATATATATTCGTAGGCGTTTCGAACATAAGTCTATGATATATTTGCTTGGTGGTGCAGTGGTAGCGTATGCGACTGCTGTGCTGAGGTCTTGGGATCAATGGAACAATTTGTGGATCACACAAAGTGTTGTCCCATGTGGGGATCGAACCCACAACACTCACCGCAGTAGGAAGCGGCGAGGTGACCGCTTAAACTACTACGCCATCCGTGCAGTCATGTTCTATGTATAATACCTATGTATGTATTTACAAAAATAGTGTATAAGTAATCAATCTAGCTTTCATAGCACAAGCTCTGCTTAGTTTGAAACTAGATTGCGTTGTGTGTCAGATGTCCAAAATATTATTATTATTATTTCATGTAGCTCACACATTGGAGTGTTGTACATATTACAGGTATGTTTAGATGGTAATGACGTGCGCACTCTGTCGGTAGTGTGGTTGCGCTCTCAGATAGGCCTGGTCGGCCAGGAGCCAGTACTATTCAACACAACTGTTCGGGAAAACATTCGCTATGGGAGAGAAGATGCCACATATGAAGATATAGAAGCCGCTGCTAAGCAAGCTAATGCTCATCACTTTATCATGAAACTGCCTAAGGTATACGAACATTTTTTTTTTAAATTACCTGTAGGTTTTTTAAAGGTTGGCGACTTTCGTATAAAAAGAAAATAAATAAACTTGAGTACCATCTAACGAAGACACAACAAACTACTATTCCTGCAACGCGCAATGTAACTTGTCGCGACAAATAGTATTAGTATTACTTCATAAGATAAAAAGTAGAGAAGTGGTGCGCCAGGCATGATCACCTAGCCTGGTCGGAGGAGCAGTCACTTGTGTTGGAGAAACATTAATACCCGTTCCTTCAGAAAAGTAAGCTACAGAAGATCGTAGACAATTTCATCAATCATCATCAACAGCCTATACTAGTCCACTGCTGGACATAGGCCTCTCCTTAGAAAGGAGATTTTGGCCTATTATAACAAGCTGGCCAGACGGGTTGGTATAGGGTTTGTTTCAAGTTTGATGTATCGTATTTTGCGGCTATTTTAGAATAATGAACACACTAAAGCATAATAACTCTTTTAGCTTACTCATTTATTTACCGTTTTTAATATAATCTGTCTCTCTAGGGTTATGATACTTTAGTAGGGGAACACGGAGCATCCTTGTCTGGTGGTCAAAAACAACGCATAGCAATTGCTCGGGCACTTGTGCGTCAGCCTCGTCTTCTACTTCTAGATGAAGCTACTTCAGCGCTTGATACTGCCTCTGAAGCAAAAGTACAAATAGCACTTGAGAAGGTAAACATTGAATCTGTGTGTTTATGTGAAAAAAAAATTGGTATTAATAGAGCTGCTGAAATCTTCTCGTCAAAATAATCTATTATCGTCAAAATAGTCCAAATTATCTAATAAATATTCTATAATATAGAATTTCCTTTCTCAGCATTTTTTTATGGATGCAATCCCTCTAAAAACTTTATTAACTAACGTCGACTGTAGTTGGATAGGAAACCTATTTGCTTTTTCGCATCTCTTATTTTATGTGTTTGGATTTCGGAGAGGTTGCTAGGGTTTACTACAGGCACAGACTTTTGTTGAGTACAAACCCCAACCCGATAACCCGATAACATAAACATGGTTTTACGAGATATATCAATATAATGTACTACGGTATTGTATATCTTAAAAACGTCTACAAAAAGTCCGCAATAATAAATGTCTATCTCCTAAGGATAACCCATAGTAACCATTTTTATCTTTTGAAAATTACAAAAAAAATATGGATTCTTTACGAAGCTATTTCAAACAGTACATTAGTTAGATACATGTAATTTAATTCAAAATAAAATTGCTCTTTTCAGCACATTATTAAATTCAATATTTTAGAAGGTTTATTTAAAATGCGGGGGCAAAGAGGCAATCACCGCTTCGGGCCGTACGTCCGTCGTAAGTGGCAGCGACCGGCAAGATCGAAGCGGGCCTATAAATATTGCACATAAAGATGTCCTGTAGTATCTTCCTATCATAATGATAGTATAATTAATTACTCCCTTTAGTAGTATCTACATTGGACCCGTGCGAAGCTGGTGCGGATCGCTAGTTGGTTTTACGATGTTCTTAAATTGGGATGCAGAGGCAGCATAGCTGATTGATACCAGATTATCTAGTCAGTTCAGGCCGCGAGCTAGGGCCTTGCACATGTCCTAACAATTACTTCCAACGTTTAGTATTTTACAGGCCGCGAAAGGTCGTACTACAATCGTAGTTGCCCACCGTTTATCAACAATCCGGCACGCAAATATGATATATGTAATGAACAGCGGTGAGCTTGTGGAGTCTGGTACCCACGAGGAGTTGATGGCGAAGCATGGCCACTACTATGATATGGTTGGTTTACAGGAGCCAATGAAAATTCCTTCGACAGGTTGGTTCTGTTCCTTACATAAGAAAGAGCTTACTGTGATTTCCGTGTGACCTAATTTAAGTTCAAATACAATAAACTTTACATTTCTACTTTAATTACAACTCGCGAAAGTGTTTGATATCAGGCAGTGTTAATCAAAAAGTTCTTTCGAGCGGCATTTTTGTGTTTTTAAAATGTATATGTTTTTCCATGTCATGTCGTGTATATATTTGAGAAAAAAAAACGAAAACATTATAGTTTTATGTGGATATGTAGTTAATTGTATAAAAGTACAGTACAGCATTGACAAGACTTGTGTGTATACTCGTATTTCCAGTTTGTGATATCTCTTTTTCTATTTTGTTACTATAAGATGTTCGTGGTTGCGATTAATTATTTTTTTGTGGCAGATGATGTTCTCACGAGAGAGGATTCTACGCTGTCAGAAGCTTACGTCATGGAAAATTTATCTAAGACAGTAATGTTTCTTTATGTTAAAATACCTGTGCTTACACCTACTCATACTCGTACTACTTAGTTCTCAGTGTCATTATAATTTCTCCAGCTGTTGCTTGCAACTTCGCTCTCGTGTTTTTCTTATTTCGTGTTTTTAACTTTACAAATGACGAACTTCAATACAACCGTTCATCCCTTATTTTACACTCTTAAAGGTAAAATTTACAAAAATCCTTTTTAAGTGGATGCTTAAACTAAAATAGTCTAAGATCCGGCTGCAGACTCATGCTAAAAATCTGTGAGTTGAGAACACTAGCATTTGAGTTATACGCAATGGTTTTAAAGCGTCGTACAGCTGGCAATCGCTATCATCGTCTGACTAGTGATGTTACTCGCTAACTCTTTTTCACTCTAGCTTAAATATTAACCATCTTTAACAGCCAGCAACCCTTATTTGCGGCCAGATTTAATTAGGCAACCGTATATCATAATAAACAGAAAAAAATTGCTTTAATTTGATATATAAATAATAAACGTACGTTATGAACGTATAAATGTCTCAAATCATACCTGTTTACATTACACTGGCTGCGAAGACGTGCGTCCGAGTGCGCAACGGCAACCGTGATTTTTCAGTGTTTATATATATTGTTGCCGTGAAGTGGACGATATTTTATTTAAAAAACAAGTGAACGAAATGTTTTCCCAAAAAAAAACAATTAACAAAAATTTAATTAAAAATACTAGCGGCCACATTTTGAGAGGCAACCTGGTAGATATGAAATCTCCTAATCATAAATATGCGTAAAACTGGGTTTTTAGCACATACTCGATGAGTGCACTGATTCTGCAGCCGGATCTCGTACTAAAACTACCAGGAAAAAAATAATTTCAAATTAAAGAATGTCTAGCGCTGTGTGTTCAATACCATAGAATTTCCTAATGTCGTGAACAACACAATCACAGTCTTAGCCTTAGTCAATCTAATCTTAAATTGTGATTGTGAGCATAAAATTATAGGATTCTATAACAACCACATTGTATTCGTTCGAAGCTGCCTGAAGTGTAATGCATTGGGCTCAAATATTCAAGATGTATTTTAAATGTGTTCTTGGTAGTTACAAATAAATAATCTAACCAAATTATTATTATTTCACGTAGGTGCTCCAGATGTCTAGTGATGATGATGAGGCAAAAGTGGCTAATGTGTCTTTCTGGCGGGTCTTGGCCCTGAAGTCGAAGGAATGGAAGTGGATGGTGGCGGGTACTGTTTGCTCTATGTTCGTCGGATTCACTATGCCCCTGTTCATCGTTCTGTTTGGCGATTTGTTTGGCGTGCGTTAATTTTCTTTCCATAATTCATTTATTTTGTTTTTAAGCTATTGCATAGCTTCCATCGCGGGCCTTGAGCGTGGAGACCGAATCCAGAAATTCCGTAACGAAAATAACCTAACACCTCCCACTCCGAACGCCACAGCGTGATACTTTTTAGTTTTGCCATCTATCGATGAATAGCAGAACTTTTTTTTAAGGTTCCTTTGACATGATAAAGGGGAAAGACCAGTTTGTTTTTATTAATGTAATAACATCCAAATACAATACCCCCCCAGCTACCAAAAATTTTAAAATTGCTTTGAGGTCCCTTCAAAATACCTTCCCTTCTCTCCCCTCCACTTTATTCATTTATCCCCCCTTTGATTTATATATATATTAATATGTGTGTATGTAGTACCATCGTGTTTTGTGATTGTTTGCTTCTTTGGAAAAGGTATAGGTATAATAGATACGCATATCGTTATATAATGTTCAATTTTACCTGAGAATTACCAACACTAATAATAAAGCTTTGCAATGTCATTACATTTTTACAAGTATTTAATTATGATGAATGACATTTTTAACTGACAAACGGTTACTAGTAAGTATGGCACTCGATGGTATAAGTAGGTAATGATTTCTTTGTGAAGGTTTTTGTCTATACCTCAAATTATTTGTACTCCAAAGACTGCACTATTTGGAATATTATGTTCCCCAACTGGTGGGACCCAACAGTTGGTGAACATAATATATATAGTAGAAAGTTAAACAAATTCTACCACATTGACTCAATGCCATCTAGTCCCAAACTAAGCAGAGCTTGTACTATGGGTACTAGACAACTGATATGAATACATATATACTTTTTTTTGTAAATACATACATATTATACATAGAAACGCCCAGACCAAATCAAACATTAAAAGTTCATGCACACAAATGTTTGACTTGAGCGGGAATCGAACCCGTGACCTTTGGAATAGCAGTCCGTTACACAAACCACTACGCCATTCGGTCGTCCTTCCTTTAATAAGTATCATGTTGCTGCTACGATCACCTTACCTAGTATTTGATGACCTTTACTTTTATTTTGTCGCTAAGTCATGGCTTTTACAGATGAGATTTATTTCATAAAGCTATTTTGTAAACGCAAAGGTAATATTGGCTGAGCCATAGAGTTTTAAACGCATGAGGTTTGTACTAAGTACTTGTATATTACAAGCTATTATTGGGCGCTTTAAACTTCAATCCGCAAGTATTGCTAAATCTTAGGTAGTTCTTAAATAGGTTAACTTTTTCTTGTTAAACACACCTGATATTCTCCTTTGTTTTGAGTTTCATATGGTGTTGAAAATATAGTTTAAATTTTCAAACAATAGTCATGTGTAATTAGTGATCGTGTATTTTTTGATGAAGGTTGATTGAAGGGAAATATTATCATTAGTAATAACAGGGATAATAGTTGCTAAAATGAGAAACCAATGAAGCTAACTGAGGAGTAGCGTAAAGCGCACTTTTGTTATTTTACTATTTGATTACTAGTTTTTACATTATGTACATATGTAAACTCACGTCTATAACTCCTATTGTAGGTAGTCCTTAAACATATTTGTAATGAGTATACTTATTTATTTTAAAAAAATACTTTTAGTCAATGTCAAATCCTGATACAAAAGTTTTGATGAGCAAAGTCGACACAGTTTCTGCAATGTGTGTAATTATTGGATTGGTAATGGGCATTGCCCATTTAATTGAGGTAAGATTTCATTTTTTTGTTTTTTTTTTTTACTTCACGTATAAGACTTTTTGCGTATACGTCAGATTAAAATCTGAATCTTATTTAGTACATTATCCAGTGAATTACAGAGAGATAAATATTATTAGCAAATTTTTATGGCCTCCCCGGGAAATTGCAAAAACTTAAATTTTGGCCAATTTTTGACCGACCAATCAGCTAAGCTCGGAGACTAAACTGTTAAAAGTTAGTGTTAACTGTTATAATTTATCAATGAACTTACCTGTTTTAGGCAGTCTCATTTGCAATATCAGGCGCAAACCTCACAGAAAAGTTGCGGTTACGAATGTTCGAACACATATTGAAACAGGATGTAATGTTTTTCGACGAAAAAGCTAACTCCACTGGCGCGTTATGTGCCAAACTTTCTGCTGAAGCTTCTTATGTACAAAGTGTGAGTTACAACATGATCAACTAAACTATAATTAGACGAAAATAAACATCAAGGTTTAAAAAATAAATAAGGCTTTGCTTTATGTAAGTATATAGACCAATAGCATGCATATCGTTAGTTAAAATAATAATTAAATAAAGCTTCTTATGAACAAAGTGTGAGTTACAACATGATCAACTAAACTATAGTTAGACGAAATAAACATCAAGGTACAAAAAATAAATAAGGTTTGCTTTATGTAAGTATATAGACCAATAGCATGCATAGCGTTAGTTAATTTTTTTTTTAAAACGTTGGTATGTTTAACTTCAAAATTATTCATAGTCCAGGTAATGACTGGTTTTAGAGGGAAGTTTTATTCTTTGAGACTTGATGTAAATATATTTCAATGTTATACACAAATTCTATTATAAGTATTATTTTTAACAATCAAAAAGGAAAGCATAACGTCGTTTATTGCCAGTGTTTTTCGAACTTCTCTGATACTTAAATTAATGTTAACTGTAATTTAAAATACAATTGTTAGAAATAATACTTCCATATTGTGTATAATTTACTTCTTTATTATATTGAAATTGTAGTAAAAATACATCTATATAATCCAGTGTTCTATTGCTTCGCAGGCAACGGGTCAACGAATAGGTATTTGTTTTCAAGGTTTGGGCTCTATTGGTCTGGCGCTAGTCCTGGCGATGTTATATGAATATCGGGTTGGATTACTCGCGTTGGCTTTTCTTCCTGTGATTTTTATTATAATCTATTATCAGTCGAAATCAGCCAGTAAGGAATCCTTCGGAAATGCTAAAGCATTAGAAAATAGTACAAAGGTATGCATTTATTTGTTTTTTAAGTTTTTAGTAAGTTTTGCCGCACTTCATACAGCAACAGCCGGTGGCCTGAGTTTCTCTATGACCGCATTTACATTTGCAGTTTCAGTTCATGAATTTAGTTTAGTTTGGTTATAGTTTAGTTTTATGTAGGTTTTTATATTATTGGATGGTTCAGATTTAAAAACACGTGTCCATTTTTTTTTAAAATTAGATGGTATGAAGTGTGAATTGTATAAAAATAAAATAAAAACTTGTAAATTTTAAATGATTGTTATATATCATTCGGTGATATTGATTAAAAAAGGGAAAAAATCCATTCCCACGCAGGACAATTAATTGTGGTATGAGTACGATCATTACTTTGTTGTCATGTGTGTGGTTGTAATTTATCTCAAACATACCTATATGTATTTAGAAATGTATGACTGTTTGTGTACATCAAGTGTCTGATTGGGATCATACTGCTGTGTGTCAGATGTGACATTTTTTATATTAGTAAAATATTAGCAAGCGCACAAATCGTGTATTGTAAACGACACTACAGAACCACACCACTTGGGTGTCGTTTACAATTTTTTTATGGTAACGACACCACCGTAATCACCATCTAAAACAAAACTAACAAACTAAATTTATCGACATCGATTATTTTTCGTTCCTAAGATCATGACCATTTTAAATAGGCTACTTTAAAGATAGCAGGTGAAGTGAAACAAATATACGGTGAAAAAAAAATTATAGTCCTTGTATAATATTGGATAAAATTTTATACATTAATTTAGTTGTTTTTTGTTGTAATGGATACTATTATTATTTTTTACGAAGCCCTTGTGAACTCGACCAATTTCAACATTGGTGTGGTGTGGTTTGGTGGTGTCATTTACAATACACGAACACAAACTAAATAGTTTTAGTTTTGAAAAACTATACTTTTGTAGAAAGGTTGGCCACCGCATATCATAGAGCGGGTTGTGTTTTTAAGCTAACGGTAATATTATCTAAGTTTTAAAATGTTTTGGTTTTTATGTGGACAGATAGCCTTGGAGGCGGTGGGCAACATTCGGACGGTAGTATCTTTGGGGCTGGAGAAATGGTTCGTGAGTGAGTACGTACGCGCGCTCACACCTACACTCAAGATCGCGCACAGGAACGCTCATTGTCGCGGTCTTGTGTCTGGCCTCTCGAGATCCTTGTTCAACTTCGTCAATTCAGCCGCACTCACATATGGAGGGCATCTTATCGTCACTGAAGGTGTCCGTTATGAGCACATCTTAGTGTAAGTAGTACAGGGCATGCATTAATGTGTATCTTTACTGTCCATAAACTCACACCTATAGGTACATACAAAACATATTGAAGGTGTGCGTTAATAAATTTGCCGCGTGAGATATCAAATGAAAAGGCTTGTGTAAGGGTCTTAAATATGTCAGATCACATCAAGAGCCTTTAATAGTCCACTGCTAGACAGGCCTCCTGTTAGAAAGGTTTTGGCCTACTATACCACGCTCGGGTCGGTATAAGGTATCTTTCAAATTTTACTTCTCTTTGCAGTGCTGTTGTAGTGTTGTCCTGCGTAGTTTGCTCCCTTATTCGGCTCTTACGACAACCACGAGATAATTGTTAATATGTATTTTAATAATTTGAACATAAAGCTTGCTTTGATTTAAAGTTATTTACAAATTTATTAAAATTAACCAACCGTTTTTTTTTTTTTTTAACGTGTGGATATCCCCTCGGACCGTCACCCCACCGGCGTCTGCGGCGGGGTGGTGTGTCGGACTCGGACCGACTTAAACCACACGGTGTGCCACTCTGCGCCTGTAATAGGAGGGATCCGGGAACATCTGTTATTAAGACATCCGGACCCCTCCTAGCGCCGGCCCGCTCCTGTTGCGCTGCCGCCCTGCCCACTCGGCGATGACCGGCTGCAGCCGGAACGACCAACGAGCCATCGTGGCTCGCCCGGGAGTCAGCCACTCGCCGATAAACTTCGGCGAGCACTTCCGCCTCCAAATCCCACGGGGGAGTTCCGGCCAACGCGCACGCCACCTCCGTCGAAACGGTGCGGTAACCGCGTATGGCTCTGACCGCCATTACCCTCTGAGGGCGCCAGAGGCGTGCCCTATTCTGGGCGGTCAGAGCCGCCGCCCACACCGGTGCACCGTATAGTGCCATTGACCGGACAACCCCCGTATACAGCCGTCTTGTCGCGACGCTGGGTCCACCCAAATTGGGCAAAAGTCGCCCTAGGGCAGACGCAGCGCCGACCAGCTTTGGAGCAAGCTGTCGGAAGTGCTCGTCGAAGAGCCACCTCCCGTCGAAAAATTAACCAACCCTCATATATCCTATAATAATGTCCATCTGCACGTTTAATCCTCCATTAAAAAAAAAAAACTGACACACGACTGTAACTGTTACTGTAACTGTAACAAAACTGACGCCGCTTGTCATACTACACGTTTACATCAACTATGTAGTTGATGTAAACGTGTAGTATGACAAGCGGCGTCAGTATATTGGTGGCCCGTGTTTGCTCTAAAATGATAATATTACATTCAGTAATTTTTGAATAATTCTAAACTAAGAGTAACTCTCGTATGTGCAATTATTTAATTTTAGTCCAAATTAATTTTCCTTCAATTTATTTCTTTTATTTTTTTTAAAGACAACTCCAGGAATTAGGAATATATTTCCTGTGTCGCGGGGGACTTTACAAACATACATGAAACGGACACAAAGAACACTCAGACTCGGAAGAACAATTTGTGGATCACACAAAATTTCGTGCCATGTGGGGATCGAACCCACAACAACCTCAGCTGATCGAACCTCAGCGTAGTAGGCAGCGGCGTGACGACCGCTTAAACCACTATGCCATCTGTGCAGTTCTTTTTTAAACAGTTTTTTTTTATTTTTTTTTGGATTATCCGCTTAATAATTATTAGTAGATATTGGTATTGGTTGCAATTTCCGCATTTAGACTCGAAAGTGGTCCTTTATGCGTCTAGAAGAGGTTGGCTAGGTGAGCCAACCAAGCTCTTTCCAGGAGGGCAGAAGCCTCCTGGGGCGTTCACAGACTTCTAGGAGCGATTTTGTACCAGGTATGGTACTTGCCCGTTGTATGGCCACTCCCTCGCATTCCAGGATTACGTGGGCGGCCGTTTCTTCTGCTTTCAGGCATCCTCTGCAAAGAGGACAGTCCGTCGCATTTATGATGAATAGTTGTCAGTTCAGCTAGGTGTCCTGTTATGGTTCCTGCAACTATTCGGATATCTAGTCTGCTAAGAAGGATCAGTTTGCAAGTAAGTCGTGGTGAAACTTCAGTCAGCACCGGTTTGGACTGTTTGCAGCCGGGTGAGTTTTTCTATCTTCGGTTATGCGCTTTAAGAATACGTTGTCTAACCCAGGATCGAAGTTGGTTAAAAGGCAGTGACAAGAGTGTGGTTATGGAAGTGTGTTGGCCTAACGCTAGTCATATGTTCATGTTTAGGTCTTGTGAGAAAACGCCGGCTCCAGTTCCTTACCCAGTCTTGGCACCGTCCGTGTAAATTCGGACTTTGTTTATGTGAGATCGATTATCATTTTCTTGTGTCAGAAATCTCCTTGTGAAGATATTGTGTTTTGGGATCTATCGACGATCGACCTATCGCATGGGGCTGCCAACAGTGGCTCATATTTCACCAATTGATCTATAAATTGGAGTGCTACCGCTCGCCTTTGTGCCACAGACCCAGGTGTCTGAGTCTAATGATCGCCATGGCTGCCTCCTGCTATATGAACAAGTCCAACGGGGACAGAGCAAGAGCCACCTCTAGTGCTGCAGTTGGCGTTGTGCGCCTACAGCCAGTGACCGCAAAGGATGGGAGTCACTGAAATTGCTGCAATCTATTGATGACGGTGCTTAACTCTGTTCTCTGCCACCACACAACGGCACCGTACGTGATTATTGGTCGTATGACTGTTTTGTAGAGCCATAGTGTAATCTTTGGTGATAGACTATCAATCAAAACGGCTACTTGGCAAAAGTTGGGGACTATCACTGATAGTCCCCAACTTTTGCCAAGTAGCCGTTTGCATTGGCAGAAGGTAATTGTAGGTATACACAACTAATTACGGCTTGAATATGTTTGTGCCTTCATATTTGAAATAACATTCCAATTTTGCCCTGTCAAAATTTACAATTGATAATGCAGGTTGTTTCGTAGGCCAAAATCTCGTTTCTCATGAGCAGCCTATGTCCATCAGTGGACTATTACAGGCTGTTGAATTGATGAATGAAGGCAGTCATTTTGTTTTTTAACGATATTAGTAACAAGAACAAATTAATCATATCTTCTGTCGTTTGATTCAGAACAACACAATCCTTGCAAATGGCTTCCGGTCAAGCGCAGAACGCTTTCACATTCGCGCCTGAATTCCAGAAAGGAATAGCTGCCGCGTCCCGAATTATAGCACTGCTCAATATGAGAGCAACAATTTTGGATCCTGAAGTGCCAGCCGTTGCTCCTTTTGTTAGTACTATTCTTTTTTTAAGCCAACTTATTTCAGAAAAGAGGGAATAGATTCTAATTTCGAAATAGGCTAGAAATAAGTAGATTTGCACTCATGGTCATTTATACAGACTTCAAGCATTTAACAAAGCTGAATTCAGAAACCATTCTAATTCCAAAGATATGCGGAAGTTCTTAAATTACAATTTTGCGTATACGTAGTCAGTACAGATAAATGAATAAGTTAAAAATAAAGAAAAGATATGCATATAGAGTAACTTTCATCAAGAAACAGTGTGTAATAAGTAGTTTTGATTCCGAGGCAGAACAATAACTTTTAGGTGATCTGTGAGCGAAGCCGTGGTGGTTGATGTGCTCGATCATTTCAAAAAGCTTTATGTACGGTTGAAGGTTTATGTTAGCGAATTTGATATTATAACTACAAACAAACTACAATCAATATGAACGTACTTCCTGTTTTCTCTTTATCATCCAAAGGTTGACTGATAGAGAATGCCTTAGGCATTAAGTCTGCAAATGCACCAAAAGTGTATGATGTATAAAAAAATAATAAATGAATAAAGCGTCAACGTTTGATGATATGCCATTTCATGTTTGACATGTGATTAATGCGGGGAATCAGTCTATCTATACATATACTGGGTACTCTTCTTCTTCTTTTAATTCAATGGCTCCATCGGATGTCGATGATTTTGCCAAAGTCTGGGTGGGGTGTAGATTTATTAGTCAATAGGTTGAAAATATTTGGAATAGCAAGAGGGGATTGTTGTGATTTCAACAGTTTCTGTGTGGTTCTGTGGGACAGTAGAAGAAAAACAAAGTATAGCAGTAAAAGTATCAGGAAACATTATAAATGTATTTTATTTATACGAATAAAATGGTAAAGGATCTTGACAAATGGGGTATATACTAGAGTTAACAGACAACTACGACAGTCTCGGTGACATCTGCCTGTCAAAACAATGTCCTTCCGTTCGTCATCCAGTTCGGGTGCGTTCCGAATGTTTCTTTTCTGTAGTAAAATTAAGTGTCTGTATTAATTGTTTGATTCCCTTTGCTTGTATATCTCTCTTTTTAATTTTTTTTTCTTTTTTATACGTTTTATGTAGGGATGAAAAAAATTAATTTCATATTTAAGTGATTTTAGACACTTACTATACGTTTTATAAGGTGTTAATTGATTTGTTTTTCTTCATAAATTTTGTTTATGTGCCTGGTGGGAAAAGTGGTGTAGAAATTAATTGTTTGATTCCCTTTGCTTGTATAATACAATGTTAAGCAATCCTAGCCAGGTCCGTCTATACATGGGTGCCTTAACACATTGAGACCTCTCCGTGCCTCGGAGAATACGTTAAGCCGTCGGTCCCGGATGCCATAGGAACTTGCTGTGGCAATCGTTACGGGCAGTGAAAGCGCTAAAAAGTCCGATAGTCTTTCTCCTAAACTTCAACATCTCTTAGTACTTGGGTTGCGGAGGTCTGATGGCAATTGCTCTGCGTATAAAATCAAGGTGCAGCCGTATTGTAGTAGAAAAAGAGAGAAAGGCTCGGTGGCAGATGCTATAAAATTACTTGACTGAATGGTTTATCAACGCAGAGCCAAATCTTCTGGAGCTACAAAGTTGAGGTATTCGCGTATTGTCAACGACACCACTGAACCACACCACTTAGTATTAATTTTTTTCACCGTATCTTTGTTTTACTTTATCTGCTATCTTTAAAGCAACTTCTGGAAACTTTACGAAACTTACGAACGAAAAACTTACGAGTGAAAAATAACTTATGTCGATAAATACATGAGTTTTGTGTTAGAACTTCATTACGGTGGTATCGTTACCAAAAAAAATTGTAAACAACACTCCAATAGTGTTGTTCACTGATGTCGTTTACAATACACGAAGATTTTGGTACTGATGCTTTCTATGTTATAAGCACCCACTAAGAGAGGGTTTCTAGGAAATTCATTCCCCTAAGGGGGTCGTTTTCAAGGAACGACGCCTCGGGCAATAGCTAGTGATAAGGAGTTTAATAAAAATTCTAAATAATTAGGTACTTTTATATTGCTCTCTAAATTTGTCAATACGACATTTCACTGCAAGTTTTCGACCTTGACATACGGTAACCTATGTCAGTCGGATACAAGGTACTTTCTGACCCCCTGATGACGTATATTCAAAATGCCATGATTATTGGTTGAATAGGTAGTATGGTTAATTAGTGAAACCTTAAAATCGAAATTCACGTAGGATTGTCATCAATAGTCCTCTCATGCGTACAATTCTTAATATAGTTATCGCGTGGACAGGCGCGACTTAAGGATGTCGAGTTCACATATCCTTCTCGACCTAGTGTCAAGGTGCTACGAGGTATGGATTTACAGGTACTACATTTTATTATTTATTGTGACTTGAAAGATTTCCGAAATCAGACATGGTATGGCTGCCTCTTCTGTGGTTCCCAGCCCTGAAACTAGAAATCGCAATGTGGCACAAGCCTTCCCTGCCCCTACAGATCTCCCCACGAAGCACGGCAAACTTGGAGAAATTCAGGATAGAATTCTCATTGCAGAAGTATTTAGATAAAATAAATAAAATGTGAGATTAAAATTGTTAGTAAATCATCTGAAGTTTCATACTTCAGATGATTCACTAACAATTTTGACTGCTGTTTTTGATGAGAAAAGTAAAAAATTAAGGTGTCATGTTAAATATATGTTTAATAGTTAACAAGTCTAAAATTCGTTTCATAACAATGCAGACTTTAGCATTTATTCCTGCCATTCCAGATTCTAGTAGTTTAATTTAAAAATATGTTGTAGGTGGATAGCGGTAAAACGGTTGCTCTGGTTGGCCGTAGTGGTTGCGGAAAGAGCACTGTGATAGAACTGCTTCAGAGGTTCTACGATCCCAGTGCAGGATGCATTGTTAGTCTCAAATTGATTCTATTATAATTTTAAAGCCATCGCTGTTCTAAAAATACTGGTTTCTATATAATGCATATTTCTTCATTTTAGTACTTAGATGAAATATCACTGGCCAACGTGAGGATGTCCGAGGTGCGGAGTTCATTTGGCTTGGTGTCACAGGAGCCCGTGCTTTTTGACTACAGTATAGAAGAGAATATCGCGTACGGTGACTACGCACGTTCACCATCACACTACGATGTCGTAGAAGCTGCTAAACTGGCCAACATACACGACTTCGTAATATCCTTGCCACTCGTATGATTTCATATTTTTAAATAGCGTCAGTCGCCTTTTAATGAAACCACTTTTTTTCAGGCACAGAAGTGCCGTATGTCCTTTTTGGTAGAGATGATAGATGAATGTTAAAACCAGATCCATATCGTCATGATCGTAGAAGAATAATGTCGGTTTTGAATAAATACGAAATTCAGTTTTTACCATATATTGAATTTTTACACTTCATATAGTTGTAAAATTATCACCTAGTGATCCAATATCTTGTAAATTTGGTACACTTTGCGCAATTGTCTATTTTTTTATTTTAATGTTAATTAATTTACCTTTATGCGTTAGGGCTACGAAACAAACATTGGGCCGAAGGGGATGCAGTTATCGGGTGGACAAAAACAACGAGTGGCAATAGCGAGAGCATTGATACGAAAACCCAAAATACTGTTGCTAGACGAGGCCACCAGTGCTCTTGATACCGAGAGCGAGAAGGTGAGCGTTGGATACCTAGTGACAATAGATGTAAAATTGACCTTATTATAGTTTTCAGCGGTCATATAAACAAGGACTTTAACATGTATGTGTAAGTGTGTGCGTTACCCCAGCAAAATAATGTCGAAAATGGTCATTTAAACTTTATAGATAATTAGTTGCTCCCCTTCTGTAATTGTTAAGCACATTTTTAAATTTGTTTCACTTAAACTTTTTTAGTTATTTCAAAAAAACATTTCCTGCTGGAGTAACGTTTGAAACGTTACCGCAGCCAGACATTTTCTTTTTTAATTGTAATATTGAAATAAATTTTAGCTAAATAATTAGTTATCTGGACTAGGTAAATGTTACAACTTATTTGGTATTTGTATTTTCTTCGGCTGCGAAGTTATTCGAAATCCTGCTGGAGTAACGTTTGTGGGTTTGCTGGATCTCTGAAACGGGTAAGCGGATTGTAACCATCTTTTGTACATAACTTCTTAAGGATTAGTTTTAATTTGTTCGACAATAAAATAACAAAAATAATGGACCGTTTAAAAATTATTTAGGTAAGTATGAAAACACTTCAATACGTCCTAACACTTTAAATAAGACCTCTAAAGACTTACTTGAAACGTTATTCTATTGCTTGTAACTACCTTCAAATGTATACGAATTTTCGTAAGAATACTGTAAGTGACTAAAAAGTTATGATGAAATGTAGCTCTCCACGTTCACGATCACAATGTGTGCGGCCTTTTTTGGCCACCGATAAACCTGTGTGTGGATATATAAACTGAATGTTATGCCAATAATTAGTTGTTTAGTTCAGTTGTCTACCTGTAAAATTTCAGCGTAGTACATATAATAATTTACGAGATAATTAAATAAAAGTCATTAGAAGGTGCAAGACCGTGGTAACCCGACCATGTTTAGGTGGTTACAAAAAAGCGATCCCCAGTACATTGTGCTGGCTTTTAAAATATGTAGGATATTATTTACAAGTTTACTACGGATATGTACATAAGTGTTACAAAAAACTACATGTTTTTTAAATATTTTTTATTTAGGATTGTTTATTGCATAATTAGTAATCAGCCGGGAGATTAGGTATTGTTTTGAATGCTTTTGTTTTCTCGTAATGTTTAGGTGAATTGTTTATAGTTGTTCATAGAATTGGTACCTGCGTAGTATTTGTTAATTGAAGTTTAATTTTAGGGTAGGTATAGGTAATTTAAGAAATATGAAATGAAATGAAATGAAATGATAAATTTTGAAGAGTGTAACGTATGCGTTTTAAATAGGTATTTTGTGAATAGATGGGGTTTTTTTAAGTGATGAATCGACTTAGGCTAGCATATCGCGAACAAACTCTGTATTGCATTATTTCTGTAATAATGTTGGAGAAAATAAAATATTTGATCACAAAATCGCGGTGAGTTAAATTATAATAAAATAAATTATTTATGTAAAATTAGTAATAAGTGATATACCTACCTAAAAGTTATGATCGTTTTTAATTTGCTCACCCTGAACGAAATTTCAATATTAGCATTAGTAATTAATATCCTAAGACAAGAATTGACAATTACTTAAATTGAATCGAATTAGCATTAATGCCTATTATTAGTAATTAGATACACACATATTGAAGAACTCTCAAGAATACGATAAATATTTGCAAAAATAGAAAGCGGAAGCGCACACGTACTTTACAACACGTATATTATCCGCCTAAGGGTCAAGTTTAGTGCACTAGATGCAAATTGCAAACAATGAAGTATCCCTTCGCCCCTCCTCTCCCGCGTTCTAGCGAAGGATGTATTATCAGCGATTCTTGATTGACAAATATTATCTGACCAATAATTTTATCTATAAAAATGTATCACTTTCACTCGATAAATTAAATTACCGTTATTATATCAAAATATCATTCAACAACTGTTCGTTTTTAACAGAAATCAACAGTCACGGGCTCAACGCTTAACGGTAGGTACATAGGTATAGATAATTATCGGTTCTAGGTATAGACCACAGAACAATATTACCTACTCTTACGAGGTATACGACTGTTGGGCGATGCAATTTTGATGCATTCTAATTTACAACTGTATTCTTCTACTATTCGGTCTATTTTAACTTATTGTAGATGACTTGTTGCTTTAAATATTTTGATGCATTCAAGTATATATTAGTTTGGGACTAGATGGCGTTGTGTGAATGTGGTACAAAATTATTATTATTATTATTTTATAAGCTCTATACACCCCAAAATAAAATACAATTACTTAAGTGTTATTTCTTTACAAAAAAAATCAAAGAAATGAAACGATTTCTTATTGGTTTAAATTTTCGTTTTATTGCAGTCAGGTGAGTGAATCCTTCATACATGTATCTACATATTTATAATTTTAGCGAACCAGTGCAGATTTTCAGTTGATTGTAGCTCCGGTAGTAAAAAAGACTAAATAAATTTTAAGTAAAGAAACTAGTGCTTAAGATCAATTAGAGAAAAAAACAAAATAAATAATAGGTAATAATAATGAATAAATATTGAATGTGTTTAACACTGTACGCAACTGTACCGAAATCGTAAGGTGTATTACACTAAACATTTTAAAAGACGGCGCAATGTACTGGGTGATCGCTTTTTTGTAACCACCTAAACATGGTCGGATTACCACGGACTTGCACCTTCTAATGACTTTTATTTAATTATCTCGTAAATTATTATATGTACGACGCTGAAATTCTACAGGTAGACAACTGAACTAAACAACTAATTATTGGCATAACATTCAGTTTATATATCCACACACAGGTTTATCGGTGGCCAAAAAAGGCCGCACACATTGTGATCGTGAACGTGGAGAGCTACATTTCATCATAACTTTTTAGTCACTTACAGTATTCTTACGAAAATTCGTATACATTTGAAGGTAGTTACAAGCAATAGAATAACGTTTCAAGTAAGTCTTTAGAGGTCTTATTTAAAGTGTTAGGACGTATTGAAGTGTTTTCATACTTACCTAAATAATTTTTAAACGGTCCATTATTTTTGTTATTTTATTGTCGAACAAATTAAAACTAATCCTTAAGAAGTCATGTACAAAAGATGGTTACAATCCGCTTACCCGTTTCAGAGATCCAGCAAACCCACAAACGTTACTCCAGCAGGATTTCGAATAACTTCGCAGCCGAAGAAAATACAAATACCAAATAAGTTGTAACATTTACCTAGTCCAGATAACTAATTATTTAGCTAAAATTTATTTCAATATTACGATTAAAAAAGAAAATGTCTGGCTGCGGTAACGTTTCAAACGTTACCCCAGCAGGAAATGTTTTTTTGAAATAACTAAAAAAGTTTAAGTGAAACAAATTTAAAAATGTGCTTAACAATTACAGAAGGGGAGCAACTAATTATCTATAACGTTTAAATGACCATTTTCGACATTATTTTGCTGGGGTAACGCACACTGTGTAAGTTACATGAGTGACATGTTTGTATTTATAATATCATTATCAAATTCCTATTTGATTGTGACCAACTGCGTTAAGCATTTGGTATAGGTACCTTTAAATTTTTCTATTTTTTTTCCGGTAAACACGCTAACTATGATATAATGACAGCTTCAAAGCAGTATCTCTAGCTTTTTTATTTTCTTGACTTTCATAGATGTAAAACGGTTTTCTTAAAAAGTAGTGTAACCAGACGTAGCAGACAATTCAATAATGAAAGATACATTTCGAACAGTTTAATAGGTGCCTATTCTGATTTTAAAACTTCAAGGATACCCAATTTTCGTTATGAATTTTGTGTTCGTGTGGTCGATAACCTTCAGAATTCCTGTTTCTCTTTTTACCAAGACCTCACAAATTGACTAGGTACTGGATGTATTCTATTATTTCGATAGCTAAGTAATGGCTGTAGAACACTGACACGATTTGTGCAGGTAGTGCAGGCGGCTTTAGACGCAGCAAGTGCATCGTGTACGTGTCTGGTGATCGCGCACCGCCTCAGTACCGTCCGTGACGCACACCTCATATGCGTTGTCAGCGGGGGGGTGGTCGCAGAATCCGGCACGCATCACGAGTTGCTCGACCTTAGAGGCCTTTATTACCGTTTGCACTCTAATAATTAATAAATGAATGTAAACCAGATTGATTATTCTTTAAATATAAACTTCATCCCATGTGCTTAAGGATTTAGTTCATAACGTCTGTATAACCAGGGGTAAATGTACGAGACTCTAATCACCTTTTGCTTATAGTATAAGCAACTAAATACCTACATATTTATTGATGCAATATTCATCAATATATCGATATTTCTGTAAATATACTGTACGTACTATTAAGGTATGTAAAAAAAATTAGTAGGTATGTACTTCTGAAAATTAGCTAAATGATCATTTCTGTTAAATATGGGAAACTTCTTCAGTGGCTATAGCAGGATTGTCTGAAATCACAATAGAATGACCATACTTTTACTAGATACGTAGCGTATTCTGACATTATGTGATTACTACATGAGGTGTAGGAAGGATAAGTCATAAATTTAAATTTTGTACATAGTTATTACAACGTTTTAGCTCTAAATACAACGTTTGTACTAAATTTGACAAGTCGCTCGCTCAATTTATAAAAAGTGTCATTTTACATTTTATAAGTTGGGTGACTCTTTAAACGAATTAACTAATACTCGTAGCACTATCTTTTTCTTCAAAAGCCGCTGCTAGAACTAAAACTAGAATAGACTAATCAGTATCATCAGTGGAAAGACAGAATTAATTAATGACAACTCAACTAAATAAAATACAACAAATACTTATCAAATCAAATCAATTTATTTCGTGAAATCATGCAGGCAGAAAATTCCCAAATGAAGGAGTACGCCGGCTCAGAAATTATCTGTAAAAACAACCAAATAACATTTAATGTATGCGGTAATCGTGACAGTCAACCGTTCGTAATAATCATGGGAGGGTGTGGTGTGTCATAGACGAAAAGAGTAAAGGACATGAATAATTACAACATTGAATAAAATAAAAATGTTTTTCCTAAGATATTTCCTAGGACCTCCTCATTAGGACAGTAGTACATTCGGTATATAATACTTGACTAAAATTTTAATTCTATGTATCAATTCTATCTCATATGTGGGTAACTACGTTTTCACATACTTGTAAATCTAGCAAACAAATCTAGGTTTTTCCATTATGGCAAGGGCAATAGGGCACTTGTCCCACTCTCGGTACCGGCATCGATAACTACGAGTATATACAGCAAATTGTTTTCTTAATTTTTGATTTACATTTTTATTCACAAAATACAAAGCCACTCGTGTTTACCTCCATGGAGGGTGCGGAAACTATTCCTTTGCTAATTGAATTTCAAATGAATGAATGACGAACCACAATGAATTAGAGCTCGTCGATTTTTTTACATTAAATTATTCTTTAAGTATCTATTAAGTAATACTCTGTGGTATTCCATCTTTTGCTAAATTAATTCAAATGTATTTGTCAATATTTTATTTTAAACTTTGTCGGCTTTGGTCTCCGGCCGTCCACGGGGTTGGTTCTGAAGGTCGAAATTCCCAGAACGAAAACGTTGAAACCAAAAATATACCGTGCTTTCTTTTGCGACACCAGCGCCGTACACATCATTAATCCTTCGAGCTGTTTCTGCAGCAATGGTGCCACGGTAGAACTCGTACTCGTGAATATACCGATATTTCATGTTTTCCATTGTGCGGTAATAAGCGACGCCACAGAAAAAAATAATGACAAAAAAACAAATGAATGACTGTTTTCAAAACCCAAATATCCCTAAATGAATTTATAAATTTGAATTTGGAATTCTTAACCAAGGAGGCGATATTCAGATCAAAGTGGTCAGTACGTCAAAACGCTAATTTCATATTTAAGGACCCAATAATTCAATTTTCGAGTTTTAATACCTATACTATGAATCACATTACAACAAAACATAGGACCCCCTCCCGCTCCTTGTCACACAATGTTACACTTCAGCGACAACCTCCTTCCTTAACGAGTGACGAAGTTTATGAGGCCATCTGTCACCCTAGCAGAAGCAGGCCGGGGTGGCGGCTTCCAGGGAGCACAGGGAACATGGGGTTCCCACACGGGGGGGGGGGGAGGCACCAGGGACTTCCTTTCTAGGGTATACCTGGTTCCCCGGCTATTAGTACCCGAGACGGCATGCGGTTTTAGTCGGTTCGAGTCCGACATGCCACCGACAGGTGGTATCCGAGGGGATTTCCGAACGGAAAAAAAAAAGTGACGAAGTTTATGTAAATAAACGTACATAATCGTTTTAATTTCGTTAATTTCGTTCGTGATAGGATTTCGTGCGAAATTGCATTAAAATAAAATAAAAAATTGAACTTTATATCTTCATGCTACTTGTAGCAGTGGAAGGCACGGGTACAGGTTGTTTCCTGTGCCGAGTTATCAGAAAACGTTTTCGATAGTCGTCAAAACAGTATAAAAATACTTACGGAGTAGGTGCCACCATAGCTGCGGCCGTCAGCTGCGAGATGATACTGCCAGCGACTAAGTTGCCGTAGTAAGCTTGAGCGGCTGCTGCGGTAGACCCAGCCGCTATACCCGCACTTCCGAATCCTAGCACCGGTGCTACGATAGGAGTCAGAAGACCTCCTGTGCCGTAAATGATGGCACCTCCTACTATATTGACTGCAACAGCCGCAAGAAGCCCCATTTTTTTCTGAAATGGAATAGAGTAATGTATAAGTTACGGCTATAATAATCGGCCTCAACGCCGTGTTATGCCATGCCAGAGTTCCTGGGCATACACGAATTTGGGGCCCTGATGGACAGTAAAACAAAAATATTTTTAGCTATAATCTTTCGTCATATCCCATTTGTTATAGTAAGTCTTTAATTGAATGCAATAGAGAAAAAAAACAAATTACACAAACTATATAAAAAGTATAGTAACCCTCGTGATATCGTAATCACGAGGGTTACTATATTTTGTCTTCTCGTTACTTCGATATAGATGTAAAACTCTTACTAAAAATGCTATGAGAAATATGTCTCAGATACTGAAGGTTCCTTAAAGAAGAATATCAAATCCTTTTGGCGATTCGTCAATAATCGGAAAGGTCAGTCAACAGTTCGTAATACTATGACTTATGAAGGAACTTCGTCGTCCAAATGGATTTGTGATCTCTTTTCACGTTATTTTGCTTCAGTGTTTGAAAAAAAATCTGACTATAGAACTAGTACCATCAGTCATAACCAAGCAGACTATGCACGCGAAAGTTCTTTGAATTCACAGTCTCATATCTCAATAGAAAAGTGATATACTGAATAAAATAAAATAATTAGACGTAAATAAGGGACCAGGTCCTGATCTTATGCGTCCCTCTTTTATTAAGCGTTTTGGAAAGGAATTATCAATGCCTTTGTTTATTATTTTTAATAAGTCATTGATTATCATCTTCCCTAAATGTTTGAAATCAGCACATATCATTCCTATATACATATAAAAGTGGTGACAAGGCAAATTGTGTGAACTATAGGCCTATTAGCATTTTATCATGTTTCGCAAAAATATTTGAATCCCTGGTTTTGAAACATTTACGAGTATATAGTCATATTAAACCAATGCTCTCAGATAGACAACAAGGTTTTGTTAGGGGCAAGTCGACAATTACCAACCTGTTGGTGTATAAAAGTTATCTTTGTCAGGCATCAGCTGTCGGTGGTCAAGTCGACTCTGTCTACACCGATTTCTCCAAGGCCTTCGACAAGGTCAGTCATCATTTGCTTTGTCGAAAAATAGCCGCCTATGGTGTCCACGGTAGCTTGTACCGATGGATCTAGAGAATAGAACTCAGTTGGTTGCATTGAAAGGCTATGTTTCCTCGATTTCTAAGGAACATCCGGAGTACCTCAAGGCTCCCATCTAATGCTTTGTTGTTGCTTGAAATCATTTATAAATACTACCTTTGCTTTTCGTAGTATTTATAAATGATTTAATTCAAAACTTGTCTTGTAACTGCCTGTTGTATGCTGATGATTTACAGGTATTTACGGTAATTTCTAAAATGGATGATTGCTTAGCCCTTCACCACGATGTCAATACAGTATCGGAGTGGTGTAAAGTCAATTTGATGTCCTTAAATGTTAATAAGTGTTTTATAATATCATTTACTCTAAAGCGTAATAAACTTACTTGGGACTATAATATTGATAGTCAAATAATAAATCGGACAGGCTTTCATTTCGCACGCATTATAGCCATATAATATGCAAAGCCAACCAACTCCAAGCTTTATTTTGAGATCTACGAAAGGTTTTAGAAAGCAGTACTTTGTACTTATACTTTGCCCTGGTAAGGTCCCCTAATTATAAGGTCCATATTGATAATATGGAACGTATTCAGAGAAGATTCCTTAAAATTCTCAACTACCGAGAAAGCCCTGGTGGGTCAAATTTAAATTACAAAGGCAGACAGCAAATATAAGGTTCAGCCATTAGAGACCTGTCGCACTCGTGTCGATTTGGTTTATCTCTACAACATTTTACATTATATTGTTGATTCACCAGAGTTACTTTTTGTCAGATCAGTTTCAATATTAAATTTAGTGGCCCGTAGGGCTAATGATACGAATATATTTTTCCCTCAAATATTAAAAAATAACATCTTACTATAATCCATTAAAAAGAATGGCCCGTCAGTATAATATCTCAAAAATCAATAAATTATTAGACGTTTTTAATCATACCTATAACAGTTATAGTCAATTAGTGAAAGACATCCTCCATAGTGAGCTGGGTTTGCATTGGCATTCAGATCTGCATCACGTTGGCTGCTGCTTGCTTACTTTGTTACTTATTGTCATCTTGCTTACAGTATTGTGAATCAAAGAATTTTTTCTTATAATCTTAATTGTTTTTTTTGTGCACATTTAAGTTACGTTACGATCCAGATCAAAATGATGTATTTATGACTTATGTTTGAATTGATTGTAATGTGTGTTGCATTTAATAAAATAAAAAAAGCTTTGTATTTGATTAGCGATAATTTTTTCAGCTATTTTATCTACAGTGGAAAGTAGTGTAATAGGAAGATAGTTCAAGTAGTCATTTATTTTTCCCTTTAAATACGGGTCTTACACATCCTTTTTTTTAGCTCATCGGGATAGAGACCAGATTTTACACTAAAAATAAGTACAATAAACCACTATTACCACTATTATTACTACTATTACCACTATTATTATTATTATTATTATGTCATTTTACTATTACCACTTTTTTTTTTTAATTTTTTTTTACTGTTTATTAAGTTGGAAATAGCGATTGAGATGTCATCCCCTATACATTTAATATCCAATGCTTTTATATTATCAATACCCTGGTGCCTTATTTGCACCTAAGGTTTTTATGATATATTTTTATGTATTTTGAAATACCAAAATACATAAAAATATATCATAAAACCTAGTATACATATATAGTATAAAAGTAGCTTTTCGGCATAGTGTACACGAGTCAGTTTGTCTGCAATAATCTTTTGGGTCTAACAATGGAACACTGCACTTTGGGAAAATGTTTTTAACAGATCTGTCGAAACCATTAGCAAAATTCTCAGCTATTTGTTTAGTGGTAAGCCCTTGTGCATCAAACGCTTTTAGGATGGCATCGTCAATTGAAAGTTTAACACGACCAAGCATCATCTGATTTATTATCTGATATAATTTCTTTGGATTTTGAAAATTGTATTTTATATTATTAATGTACTAATCATATCTTCAGTGTTCTAAAATTTTGTTTGTTTTATTTCTGGTTTTATTATACTGTATTCTTATGCCTGGATCGAATGAATTATTTTTCCACTTTTGAAATATTTTTGTCACGTTTTTCACAAAGTCGTATTACATTTTTATCGATCCAGGGAGCTTTAAAGGATTTATGTCTAAGTCTAAAGTTTTTTTTTATAAAATTATATATCGCATTACTATTATTCATATATTATAATTAGTTTCCGTCCATTTCACTTTTTTTAGTTCCTTATAAAACAAGTCATAATTAATTACTGGTATTCGAACATACCGTATACGCTTTAGCGGCATATTGTTAATGCATGTAAATAGGATCGCCCGACAGTCGGCCAGTACAACGTCAAGCACTGCCCAGTATGGATGCGCTTTAGGGAATCGCGCGAATATATGATCAATGCACGATTTAGATATCAAGTTTAATTTCGGTTCTATTCTAGTAAAATCAGTGATTCCGAAAAACAGACCGCACCCCGTGTTTCTAAGTATGAATCTATGCACGGTGTTCTACATTTTAGGTTTAGGTTCGTGTCTCAGATGAGGATGAAGTTCTGTTTATTATTGTACTTATTTATACATGTATCTAGCTCTCTCACAAAGATGTTTTTATTAGTTGATGGGGGCCGATATATTGTAAACAAAACTACGTTCCGTTCAGAAGGCAGTTTCAAAATACCCATTATACTTTAAAACGTACCTATTGTTGTAAACTTTAGATGTCTTTAACATAAATAATTATTCCGCCGCCTTTTTTATTAGTACGCAGTTGTGAATGCATATTATATCCAGGTATATTATATAACTGAGAAATGTTTTGTGAAATACCGACCTCTGTGAGTATTGTTATATCTAGTGGAGTTAAGCAATTATGTACAATCTGCAATAACTTAGTCTTTTTTTTTATCAATGATCTTATACTGATATTTAAACATGATAATTGTTTATGACTTTTAAGAGGTAGTAATTGAATTAATTTATTAGGCGAGTTACAATTGAAGATTTCCTTTATCTAGTTAGCCATAATATACTAGTAGAATAACGTGAATAGACGAAATGGAACACATTAGGTGTTAAATGTGTCTTTTTCTTTACGACGACGAAGTGAGTGAATTTAAATGTTTTTGAACTTGATCTATATCCTCGATTGAACGATGTGATAAATTTTACTGTTGCATGTTTTTCTAGCAAATACCTTACCATCTTTACACCATACAAACTAACACGAGTTACTTCGTTTATGACGTGTTCCTTGATAGCTTGACTGGTGGAGAACTCAAGGAAGAACTACATTTAAAAATGTATCTACAATGGCTCAGAGATTCCTGTCATCTCCCCCAGCTAGTAGACCAGCGAACGATTGTTTAGCAGTGTCGGAATTAGTTAATAAGCTTTTAGTTTTTAAATAACAACTTCTCTTTCGTTCAAAATTGTACAACACATTTTCATACAATTTAAAGAACCATGTTTTGTGTAAGTAATTTATTATTACGGCATCATCAGCAGCAACCATTATACATACAAAGTTTCATTTCGATGTGACCATTAAAATTAGGCTCTTTTAGATAAACCCTACAAAAATTTTGCCCAGTCCGGGAATTAAACCCACTTAGGTAACGTTTTTCAAATTCCACACGAACTAAGTCCCGGCCACCAGCTAGTCTAATAATAAACTTTATTTTCCTTTATAAAAGAAAACCCACATCAGGAATATATCCTGTCCATAAATTGACATCAATATTTGAATTCTGATTCATATCATTATTTTCATTACGAGCTATTAATGTGTAGTGTTTACAGTCTTTTGCCGACTTATTGAACGAAATGTAAAACTGACGCCATTTATAAATTATAAAAATGTAATCTTTCTGTAAAAAAAAGATTAACCCCATTAATCCGATGATCATTTAATAATAATAATATTATCATTACTGATGAAAATATAGACTTTCATTATGAATCTATGTATAAGGTATTGTTTTTATTCCTTAAATGTGATTTAAATATATACCTATGTAGGTATTGTTAAAAAATATTTTAGTTTACACGTAGGTAATTGATCTAAAGTTTATTGAAAGTATCATCATTGCAATAACACAGTTTTATTCGATTTGAAACAAAGTTGTGTAGGTGGTGCTACTATAAAACAAAGGAAGTCTGAATGCGTTATAAAATGGCCGCCAGACTGTAGGTTCACCTATTCCTGAACTAAGACCTAGATTACTGATTTTTCTACATTATTTATAAGGCGTGTTATGCAGAAACGATTTTATCCACAAAATTGTACTGATTTAATTAATAATGCCGATTAACGGGTACTTGGTATTCTTTATAAGGAAAAAATATTTGTTCTAGTTGATAAAAAAGGATTTCTAATTATTGTCAGCATCATAACCTAATAAGATTAAAAAAAAGGTTTTTCTAGAGATCACTAATCGAAAATCGAAATCCTACTTTATAATTTAGCATGTGTCAGTTTGTGAATTAAGTATATTATCATTTCTTCACAAAACGCTACATAATATCTGTTCATATATTTAACAAAGGCAGACAGACATGGCAGACCCAGAACAGAATACGTGAAAATTGAAGTCACTCACCGAAGTCGAATCAAAATTGTTGAAAAAACACCACTGTAGAATGAGTTGCTAATACGCGTTAGCTAGCGTCGCGTTAGTGATTAAAACTGTGAAGATATAGAGTTATAACGAAGCTTTTATAGCCTCTGGTCGTTTTTAATTCGCATGCGCGAAACAGGAAATACCCGACCATAGACAATTTTGTTCTAGAATGTTCTTAAATTATTATCGTTTATAACTATTCTACTGTCGAAAAAACTATTATTTCTACGTCTCTTTGTGTATGTACAGTTGTTGTATTAAAGCTAATTTATAATAAAATATTTTAGGAGACGGTTGGTTCATTTATGCCCGTTTCAGAAATCTCAAGTACTCTCGACCACTGACAATTTGTGGTACATACCCATGCAGCTATGGTATAAAAGGAAAAGAATCTCTGTGTTTTTGAGTGTCCCTAAGTAATCTGATTTAGCATAGGGATGGAGATTTTTTTCCGAAAAATATCGATTTTCAGATTATTTCAAATCGCAAGCTTATGAATCGATCCACAAAAAAATCGTGGTATAAAAGATCGATTTAATAATAATCTATTTTTTTCGTGTCTGCATTTGTATTGTAATTTTTTTAATAAATCTGTTTCATGGAAAATAAGAAAGGTACCATAATAACCGACCTCTTATCTATACTAATATTATAAAGAAGAGAAGTGTTTCATTTTTTGGTTGGAAGCGCTATTCTCAGAAACTACTGGTTCGGATCGAAAAATTCTTTTAGTGATGGACTACGCTCCGACCTAGGAGCCGAGTATCAATAAAAATGATTCGATTAAACGAACTCAGATCGCCATCCCTAATTTAGCCTTGAAAAGCAGATCACATTATCGGTAAATTTGTTGTTTTATATTCGATAACGATTACCTACCTCTTATCAATATTCTTTTATGAATCAATTGTGAAATTGACATGAAATAGTTTATTTATTTATTTATACCATACTATACATTATTATCACAGATAATATTGTTGTTAAACTACCATTGAAGTCATTGTTCTGCCATCACGCGGACATCGCTTTTTACACGCTTTATATTAGCTTCACTTGTATGTTTGTTTGTATGTTTGTAACCGACTCCTTTGGGCGTGATTTTGACTGACTTTAAACGGTCAGAATTCGTTCAAACTTTGTAGATATATCGAGGACCGATGACAATACACTAATTTAAAAAATAATAATTAAAAAAAATATAGTTTTAAAAAACTAAATTACATGCTTTCTATAGAAAACCAAACTAAAAAATAGAAAATAAAGGTGCTTTTTACTATTGACAACAGGCACCCAACGCTTTTTTTATATGTTTATTATATATATTAGGTATATATTTTTTTTGTTAGTGTTATGTGCGTATTTATGTCCTTGTAGTGACGGATTAAAAATACGGAATGTTACTACCCCAATTCATCCCGTGGGTGTCGTAAGAGCCGACTAAGGAACAACAACGCAGCACTGCAATAACAAGGAAAACTTGACACAAACCCTATACTAACCCGTCTGGCAAGCGTGGTGTAGTAGGCCAAAACCTCCTTTCTGAGGAGAGGCCTATGTTTAGCAGTGAACTATTAAAGGCTATTGATGTGTGATGTGATGTCATTGAGTTAAAACAACACTAGAGAAGCAAACCTCATTATCACACGTCGAAAAAAGTGTAACCACTTTTGAACTTTGACGACGTAGCTTTGATACCACTAAACATTTGAAAGTAAACATATTTATGTCTCATTTACACGCGAGACAAGAACAATACCATCGCTCGGATTAGACAAAGACAAAGATATAACTTTACGATGGTGGGCCAGTGTTGACTACCGTATGAAATTTTACCCATAACAACTAAGAATCAAATTTTTTTTAAAACAATTTTGTAATAAAATAAATTAATTTAAATATTCTAAATAATATATTTCGAATTGAATAGAATAGGTATAAATAATAAAATAACTGGAAATATTTGGTTAAAAGGGTTTACATTCAGTGTAAAATCAAACTGCGCTGTGAAGCATCAGTTTTGTATACAATTGTCTTTTAGACTCTTTTTTATAAGTTTGTGTGGATATTTTACTTTCATTATACAATCTTATTTTTACGTATGTAAAAATAATAGCATTTAATAATAAAAGTGAATGATCAACTTGTACTGATAATAAATAATCCCCAGGGTGTATTGCAAATTCTATTATAATTTAAAAAACAAATAAAAAAAAAAAAAAAAAAAATTTTATAAAAAATTATTTATGTTTATTTACTTTTTTATTTTATATTTTTATTTTTATGATAAACATTTATTATTATTATTATTATTATTTTGTGCAATTATTATTTAAAATTGATAATAAATTAAGAATAACAATGAATTAATTTTTTTGTACAAAAGTCTCCAGCACTGCGAGCTTGGCACTTCTGCCAAGCTCGCAGTTAACGTTCAACGGGTCCCTAAAAAAAGGGATCGGTCCAGCCCTAACAACTACCGTTCTTCATATATTTTATTATTATTGGCAAAATGTTTAAAAACAGTATAAAGCATATTATTTCATAAATTATAAATTCTCCCACTAATGTGGGAAAACCAAAATGATTTTTTAATGGTAACACTGATTCTAAATTACAATTATCAGTGTTTTATTTCAATTATAGCCTTATTTACGATATTATCAATACAAAAACCATAAACTTACACGTGAAAAGTAATTCCGCATGATTTATTAATGTTTTGTGACCTTGAATCGCATTCTTTCAGTACGCATTTAGCCATTTTGGCGATTGTTACTGTCATGTGTCGCTATGTTCAACTCGGTTGACGCCACATTGAATAATGAATTGACGTTTGCTACGCATATGCCTGTGGACATATGTGCAGTAGCAACGATTTTAGGCGGTAATTACTCATCTATGTAAGTATTATATCAATGTGTGATGTGCGTATTCAGTTTTTTACGTTATTTCAGTAGATAAGTAATTAAACTGCGTAAACAAATATGCTTCAACTCGCAACTTTACGGAGGCAAATATTAAAAGCTGCTGCTCTGTTAGTTAGAGGTTCGAAATCGCCAAGAAGCTCGTGGTTTGTCCAGAAAAAGTGGTAATATATTGGACATAATGTGTGAGGAAACATTTATAAAAGTGTTTAGGCTAACAAAACGCCTTGTGAAGAAGATATCAACATTATTTCTTCAGATAGAGGTAAAGTTAATAAAATGAAAAGAAATGTTCTGTATGTAATTTATGTTTCAGTTAAATAGACTTTACGGTTTCCTGATGTTGACTTTGTATTTCAGCTTCTGATACATGGATCCTATCAAACTTTGGTAGGCCAAAGTGCATTCCATAATATGTCACAAACTATAGTGTCATGGGCTATGAGACAAGTGATCAAGGCATTGATTCATCCTACCATTTGTCACAAATATGTGAGATTACAGAGCATCAAGAAAGGAATGACATAAATGCCAAGTAAGTATATACCTTCAATGTTTTAATTAATCTAAGTTTAAACAACTTTTACAAGATAATATTTAAATATATCTTAATAGATAGATAGAAAACTCTTTATTTGTACACCATTTTACAAGTTGTACTGTACATAAAAAGTTCAGACATGTAATGTACATAGGGTGCCATTATTGCTAAGAGCAGTCTCTTCCAGGCAACCTAAGGATGGATTAAAATGTTTTGGAGAGATAGTAGTAGGTGAAGTTGAGTTGAGTTCAATTTTTTTTTTATAATAGACAAAAAAGCCTTGACACTTATTTATAATATTTCACATAACAAATATAAAACTATAATATATACTATAAACTATAATATACACTATAAACTATACTAATAACTATAAACATAAAATTTTACCTAAGAGATGATTGCCTCTTGGTGAAATCTGTAATGAAGGCTGAAGGGGAGTCAGTATTGACAATGGACACCTATTAAATCTACATGTTTATTTGTTCCAATTTATTTATCAATGATTAATTTTTCAGTTTACTTAATGTTTGCAATAATTTATAGGTATGTGATTTTGATCTAAGCATCATGTGTCCATGCCAATATCCCTGATGCAGCCCATGACTCCGGTAATCCACTCAGCCAACACTTTAATGTGTTTAGCGGGACCCGGTGAAGATCATTCATGTTTAGCAGGTGAGTACATAGGTATTTTATGATGGTAGGTACCTAATAACTGACTAAAATAAAATAAATTCATTTTATTTTGGTTTAAGCTTAATACATAGGGTATTAAGTATTAATTATATATGTTGGAATAAAATGTACAATATCTAGAAACTAGTTGTAAAATATTTCAGTTTTGTGTCAGTCAATTAGCAGCCAAGTAGTTTAAAATTATTTTATGATACACCTTGTGCAAGTGGATGATCACTCCAGCTTTAAACAACACTGAAAGAAGTGCAGAGCATTACTATTATAATTTGCATTTAACTGCACCCAATACTGTTGAAACATTAAAGACACTGAGATTGATAAAATTAACTCTATCGAATGAATCTCATATTTTATATTTTTACATATTAATAATAATGATAGATTTTAATAGTTATTGATTATTTTTTAATTTGAGGTAAAACAAAAGATCATGGATGTTTAAATTCTGAAAATTCTGTTTATTTTCAGGCTTGCTGCTCGAGCACTTCACTTCCAAATATGGCAAGGGAATATGCACAACATTGGGGACACCTTATAAATGTTTCCCCAACATCTCTGTCCATAATATAATATAACCACTGTGGTGGTGATGGTGGTGGAGTGTTGTCAAGGAAAGTTGCTGGGCCATCTCCTGAAAACAATGCAGTTCATCTTAGGAAAACAAAATATATTATACTAGTTTCACAATAAAAGTTATGTTTATTTACCATAGTTATTATTTTATTAAATACCAAATATTTTATAAAGTTCATCACTGCTTTGATTTTTGTTTCTTATTTTCCTATCTTCTTTGATTTTTGATTTGTATTCTTTATAAACCTGAAAAGAATAAAATTAATATTAACTTACAATAGGATATTATTAATATAACGAAAGCAACAATAAATTTATTTATTGTTTTTACTACTCCGCTAGTAAAAACAATAAAGAAATTTATGTTCATCCTTTTCTCTGAAGGTTATGGCTACTAAATAGTTTTCGCTTGCCTTAACAGGGAAAGCATTAGAAGGCAATTTGCTTAACTGAGACTTCTCCATGTCAAGTTGTGTAAAATTTGCCCAAGTTGAAATTTGCTGATAACGTAGTGGACTATTTGCCCTAACTTATTTCATTATTGCCTTCTAATAAAGAAAGAGATTGGTGGAGGGGTGCCTGAAAGAATAGAGCAAATTTGTTATGTAAATTAATACTCACTACTCTCTACTTTAACAGTCTAGCGAAATACCATATATTTGCGCACTCCGTCCATAATCGCTTCGTCAGACTGCATCCTTCCTCGAACCAGGAACATCAAACGCGTCTAATTGTGCCTCGCTTGCCATTTCTTCAAACCTTCAAGAGAAGAACGTACTCCTTCCTAAAAGGCCGGCCACGCGTTTGTGACTCCCTGAGTTGCAGACGTTCATGGGCGGCGATAGTCACGTTCCATCAGGTGACCCGTGTGCTCGTCTGCCCCCTCTAACGTAAAAAAAATTCAAAGTGATGACAATGACGCACTATGTACTGTTAAACCATAATTTTATTAATATTGTGTTAAATTTCTTCTGTAATTTGTTTGTAGAAATCTATACAAATAAAAAAAAATTGGAGTGTCTGTTTGTAATATTAAAATAACCGCTTTTTACTAAATGCATATGTATGTTTACACGGTACATATGCCAAAATAATATTTTTTACAATTTTTGTCTGTCTGTCTGTTTGTTCCGGGTAATCTCTGGAACGGCTGGACCGATTTCAACTGGACTTTCACTGGCGGATAGCTAATGACATAAGGAGCAACTTAGGCTACTTTTTTTAGACTATAACAAACGCGGGTAACACCGCGGGTCTCAGCTAGTAGATAATATAATTTTATTTAATCGATAACATCTAAAAAATACGAAAGTGAGTACTTACTATTTCTTTGGCATACATTTTAATTTTGCTGGTGTTCCGTCACTGATAGAAAAGCGAGTAAGCGAGTGCCACTTTTTTCATTTGGCAATAGCACTTACAAACAGCCAACGATAATCTCATTAATTACGGTGTATTATGTCGTTGTAGTTTATAAATTTGTATCAATAAATATGATAAATCTATAACAACTTTATAGATCAAAATTAAAAAAAAACGTAAGTAATACATTTTAAATTGAGAATTGAGGCCCAGATAAAAGAATTACATTCCAGATGACTTTTAACTACTGCCTCGTACAAGGCTCTCAGTGCTACGATGTTCGTAAATCCATGTGCGTTCCTTAAAAGAAACCTGAGATTACGATAAGTCTTTTTACAAAGATTCTGAATGTGCTTCCTAAAATTTAAATCTGGGCTGAAACGAACGTCTAAATCCCTGACCTCGTTTATCCGCTAGAGAGGCAACCCCTGCATGTGGTACTGGTGGTATCAAGGGTTACGCGCCCGGCTGAACGATAAAACGGAACTCATTAAAATATAGTTTATTTTCTAAGCTCCACGCTACTACCCTATCTATATTCTGCTGCAGCAAGTCGTGATCCGCATTGTGCCTAATCTCTCAAACCAACTTCAGGTCATCCGCAAATAGCAATGGCGTCGAGTTACTAACTACTTCCGGCAGGCTGTTAATCATTAAAACGAAGAGAAACGGACCCAGGTTACTGCCCTGACTTGATCTCGTAAAGTACCGTTCAGAAAAACATGTTCCATCTCTAATCATGATTCATAGGTTAAAAAGGAAACATGAGTAATGTGTGTGAGTATGTGATTAACACATGAGTAGTGTTGTTTTATTAACTAGTTTTTGTTATATGTATCTATGTTAAGTGTTTGTTATATGTATTCGTGGTACACACAATACACGTAATAACTATATTGGCGAGGAAAATTGGGGAATCCCCGTCATAAACAATGGTTTTATGTTTCGCTTGGTGCTTAAGTTTAAGACCTAGTGAGACTAAAGTATATTTCGTTTTTCAAAAATGTGCAGCACATTTTGTTTATTGTTTAAAAAAATATATATTACTAGATTACCATTTCTACTCTAAAGTGTGCCTAAAGTTCAAAATACTTTTAAGAGTGCTTTCGTAATGAAATATATTTATGAACGAACAATATACAATTTCATTTTATTTTATTTTATAATGTTTGAACTTTGTACTCTTTGTCTCGAGAATATACATTGCTTTTCATTATTGCTTAGTTTTTTCACTTATGTCCAGGAGCGCCATCTGTCACTTAAAGAGGTATTTTTTAATACAACTATGAACTATTTCCTCGTGTCTTAAATAACTCCAACCAGATGTCGCTGTAAGCACTCAAATTAAAGTGTTCTTACAACCACGGTTGTAAGAACAACTGACAATCAAATGAAAAACTATAATATTTGAACTTCTACAAAGTAAACCCAATTTTTACTTTTTGTGCTTGGCTCCTTATTATCACTTACCTGTCACCTGTCACCACTGCGATTGCAGTGAGGACTCGGCTCAGCACAGTTATTAAAGAGGATCTCTCGCTACCAGCCGTTATACGTTCGATGGCTGGTAGTTACAGTGCTTTGCCGCTGTCGCACCCTTCTGCGAAGACGTCTTCTCGCAGAAGGGGGCGGCGGAGAGGGCCCGGGCAGATGATCCCTATTCGGACCCCATTCGCCTCCAACGAACCGGCGGCGGAGGTGCGCTTACCAGTTCCTCATGCCACCCTGAGTGTGACCGCTGGTGGACGGGACGGATTTTCTCCGGCGCTAGGATGGGTCCGTATGTCTTAATAACAGCAGTTTCTGGATCCTCCTATTACAGGCGCAGATTGGCACACCGTGTAATTTTAGTAGGTCCTAATCCGTTACACCACCCCGACACAAATCCCGGTGGGGTGACGGCGCAAGGGGGTTTTCACCCGTTAAAATAAAAGTACGATTACGTGCACCAGTGTGGGCGGCGGCTCTGACCGAGCAGTATAAGGCGCGCCGCTGGTGCCCTCAGAGGGTATTGGTGGTTAGAGCTAACCGCGATTACCGTGTCGACGGAGGCGGCATGTGCGTTTGCCGGAACACACCCATGGTATTTGGAGGTGGAAGTACTCACCGAAGTACATCGGCGGAAAGCTGAGTTATAGGCGAGTAGCGGCAGTTGGCCCCCGCCCAAAGAGGTGTGCGAGTGCTGTGAGGCCGCTCACCGAGCCACAATGGCTAGTCGTCCCAGGTGGAGGCTCCATGTGTTGGTTTTGCTGCTTTGCAGGCACCCCAGCCTGTGCAGCCTCTGCGTGGGTATGACGTAGCCTAAATAGAGAATTCACCCGAAGGTGGTGCCTGCGCTATTGCGAGCAGGCGCTAGGACGGGTCCGGATGTCTCAATAACGGCTCCATCGACATAATCATTTAACCTACTGGTAGTGTTTAGTGAGAAAGTCCTACTAATGGTAAATAAAGACAAAATGGTTGGCTACTTGATAAGACATGACAACTTCTTCAGAATAGCACTGGATGGCAAAAGAAAACGAGGACGGCCTAGATCAACGCAAATACAGCAAGTGAAAGACAAAGTCTGAGTAGTGGCCTATCAAGAGGTCAAACAGATCGCATTAAATAAAGAGGCATGGCTATTGCTTCACCGGCAAGGGCTCTTAAATTGAGAGAGAGAGAGTATTTAGTGACTACTAATCCAGAGGTAGTGAGCACGATTCCTACCCAGGACAAATTTGTACCTTTTTGTGTGAAAAGCACAATAATTTGTACTGTGTGTTACATCCATACATCTATTTGTGTGTATACTTGTATTAAGTCAAATATATGAAAGTTTGTTTGTCAGCAGATGGGTTTTTTTACTAATTTGGATTCAGATGATCGTGTGAGGTGTCTAAATTACTTACTTTAGCTACTTACTTGACATCCTCCTTTCAATTACTGTGTCCAATCATGACACAACCCTTCGTTTTACAAATAATTTTCTGTTGTGTTCCCCTCCTTTAATTACGCGTGTGTTCATGCCCCCTTCCTCATTCAATCTGTCCTTCTCTGGAATGTTCTTCCCCAGGAAATCAGAATAGCACCCATTCTTCATTCGTTCAAGGCGAAAACAAGGCAAACTACGCAGGACAATGGCACTGCAAAGAGAATAAAAACTTGAAACAAACCCTATACGAACCCGCCTGGCCAGTGTGGTATAGTAGGCCAAACCCTCCTTTCTAAGGAGAGGGCTATGTCCAGCAGTGGATATAGGCCTCTATGATTGATGAACACTGTCACATTTTAACTGTAAGTAGTTAACTGATCATCATGAAATTTTGCACGTAGAATTTACTGTCAAAAAGATATTTATGCGAGTGAAGCCATGCGAAAGTACTAGTATTTATTATATTTTACAAGTAATTGATGATTTCATTCGGCATAACATACACTGAAAAACAACTGTAGAGCTAAATATCTATTTTGTACGTTGAATTAAATTACCAGAACTCTACAGCTATAATAAAGTTTACTAAAGTTGTAAAGTAAATGTATCATTGGCAGGTAACAAGTAAACAAACAAATAGCACATTGATAAGGTACTTTGGGTTCGGAGCAAGACGCGGGCTAGACTGCAACCAAAGCGTCAGTCTGGGTCCAAACCTTGTGACTCAAACACGCCTCGCAATTTGCGGACGATAGTCAACATTGAACAGTGTACGAGACGCCTTTGCTTATCTCTTATCTTTATAAAAAAAAGATACATCAAATCGCACCACAAGAGAACAGATAATAAACACTCAAGGAGTGATAAACACACTTTTACTACATTTTAATTCATTTTAAAATTCTTGAGCTATTTAATGCTGAACTTTAATTCCTGAAATGTGTTAAGTGACGCTTTTATTATAAAGTTATAGTGAATTTAGTGTTGTTAAAAATGAAGGCGATTTTATTTTTTGTGCAAATCCTTGTAATCGCTAGTGTCCAGTGCACGCCGTGTCCGAGAATACAAAGCTTAAACATTACTGGTGGTGTCACTTATCTAAATGGCTCAGTTATATACGACGGTGTGGAATACGTAAGTGGGACTTGGTATGAGGTGGAAGAAGACGGTGTGCTGGTACTCCTAGGATGTCCATGTATTGGACGTATATGTATTCATAGATGCTGCCCTTCAGGAAGTATGTATATCAACTCGTCGTGCGCTCCATCAACTTCGAGTGTAATAAATCCCTTCAGTCCTTCGGTGTACCAAGGAAGGGAATTGACGAGCATCGTTGCGCACGAGCACTTCTTCTATTTGTACGTGAAGCCTTGTAACGACAGCTACGTGGTCATCTCTGGCACTAACAACGAAGAAGTATTCATTCAGGAAGTAAGTGTTATTTTCACTTTACTCTATGTAAAATCTTTGAAAATATTAAGTACATGCTATTCATCGGCAAGCACTTGCAAATTTGCACTTGTTTGTTTGAGCTGATTTTTAAAATTAAAAAAAGAACATTGTAAATAATGCCAGGAAAAAGAGGTACCTATATAAATCTAAATTATTTTAATATTATTATTATATATATAATTTATAATACAGCTGGTAAACAACAACCGAAATTATGTTACTTTTTACATTGGGCACTCTATTTCTATCTTGCAATTTTTTTTTGTGCGGCACGGAACTACTTTTAAAATTATATGTTTAGATCAAATAAACAATAATCGCACTAAATAGTGGCGCTCGATAACTCCAAACACTTTAAATACATTTAATATGCCATCGTAATTTTAAACCAGACCATACAATAAATGTTATTGTGAAAATGTATGATGTATGAATGAAGGTAGAATGTATTTTGCGATCAAAAAACCTGTCATTTTAATAAATCTGTATATTTTTATATAACTTTATCCAATGCCTTTACTCTGAGCCGAGGAGAAACTGAATACAAAGCCACGAAACACTTTTAAGGGATACGATCTTCCGAAATTAAGAACATGCATATGGCATTTTGCTGCTAATTAATACTTTTGTCCAATTTTGAACTGACTTTGAAGAGTAGGAGAGTCATTCTTCGGCAGTAATGGGCCAGCGTGACCGGAGTGATAACACAGAAAACTGGTGATAAGCAAATCTTTCGTTGCTTTCCGCTGAGTAAGTGAGGTTAGAGAAGCCCAAAAGCCCCCCCCCCCTGATTCTTCCTAAAAGGCGAGGTCAAGGTGTCAATAGGCAGCGGTAATCACTTTCCATCAGGTGACCCGTCGGCTCGTTTGTTTTCTATGATATAAAAAAGGAGCTAAATATTAAGAAGTCAGTCATTACAACCCTCTATCACAAACAAACTTAGCTATAAATGACGTATTAGTTACAAGAAATATACTGTTATCGTTGTAAATAAAGACAATTGTCTTTCTTTTCCTTATGTTTATCGGATCGATTAGTAAATTATTGTTTACCAGACAAACACGTAAGTAATCCTCATCAATGCGTCAAGTTAGCCAATATGGTACATTTGTACTAATGGTAACTGTAAGAGTAAATGGCAAGTAAGGTTCTGCTCCTAAATTAACGAATCAATTTTAATGAATTGTTAAAGTATAGATAGGATAGACGAGAGCTTGATGATTAACATACTTTTTGTCGGGAAACTAAAACTTTTAATGGGTGAAAGATTCGATCCCGACAAAGTGGAAGACAGAAGCTATTATCACTTAATATTACGAGAGTTGGAGAATGAACTCTAGATAGATTATTCTGAGCATAATATTATGAAAACTATGACAACGATAAATTAGCTATAAAATGATTTGGAAACGGTTATCATATTATAGTCTATATTCAGCTGACCGGAAAATTTACATGATTAATCCATTCATTAATGGAATTTCTTGTAACAATGATTCATTGTCAGTTACGGGTTAAGGATATGGGCCTTGTAAATAGTACAAGTACTTAGATTATTGAATTCAGTTTAATAAAGGTGTGGTGAGTGATCACTTAGGGCATACTGAAAGATTCTGGTTTCTGATAAATAAGACTAGATATAAGATTTATGATACATTTATTGTTTTTCAAAGTATATTCCCTCGCAATTAATGCATTTTTGCATTCGCTGAAACCAAAGCAGTTGGACCAGTCTTTCTTAGGGAAGTCGTCCTACCTTCATCTTCAATAGCTTCATGGAACGCATTCACTGCCGATTCAGGACTCGTAAAACGTGTGCCTCTAAGTTTGTCTTTAATTTTTGAAAACAAAAAGACTCGCAGGGTGCGTGGTCCGGGCTGTTAGATGGATGCGTCATCAGTTCCACATTTGAAGCCTACTAATAGGCGTCTGTCACCTTAGCGGAACGAGAGAATGCGTTATCGTGGTGAAGGAGGACATTGCTTCGTGGACGCTTTTCACGAACTTTTTCTAAGACTCTGGGCAAGCAAGTGTTGACATACCAATCTGCAGTCACTGTCCTTTGATCTTCAAGTGATACTGTAGTGTAATGTCCTTAATTGCCGAAAAAAGAAGCAACCATTTTCTACAAATGCTCCACAACTTCCTCTAAACCACGAACACATAGAACTGCGACATGGTGCTTAATCACCAAATGCCAATTGAAATCTCTGGCAACTCTTTTGTTCAATTTTGATAGCATTTGACATAAATTTTTCGATAGGACGTTATAATAAAAAAACAAAAGACAGTCTCGCAAATTAAAAAGTAACATGTTCCAAAATAGTTCCATTTTCGAATTCCATAATTCTTTTTTCATTCTTTTATTGTAAGTGGCCAGGTCCAGAGACTTTCAGTATGCCCCATGTAAGAATACGGAGTGTCACTACCCCTATTCATTCTATGATAGTCGTGAGAGCCGACTAAGAGAGCAAATTAAAGCCACATATACACATACATACATTTGTAAAGAGAAAGAAAACAAACCCTATATACAAACCCATTTGGCCAGCCTGGTTTAGTAGGCCAAAACCTGCTTTCTAAGGAGAGGCCTATGTTGTGTGTGTTATAGTGGACTATTAAAAACTGTTGATGAAAGGGCTAGGCTTTCAATTCTTTTAGTTTTCTTCTTCAATGCGTACTTTTACTGCCCTCCGAAGTACATGCATACAATACTTAACTTACTTATGCTGCTACTACTATACTATGTGTGTGGTGACGGATTAAGAATACAGAGTGTCACCACCCCTATTCATCCCGTGGGTGTCGTAAGAGCCGACTAAGGGAGTAAACTACGCAGGACAACAGCACTGTCAAGAGAAGTAAAACTTGAATCAAACCTTATAAGAACCCGTCTGGCCAGTGTGGTATACTCGTAGTAGATCAAAACCTTCTTTCTAAGGAGAGGCCTATGTCCAGTAGTGGACTAGTAATAGCTGTTGATGATGATGACGATACTTATCTAATATTTCGGAAGGCAATGAAGCAGAAAGCCAAAACAATTAAGTTGACTTTTAACAACTAATGAGCTTACAAATTTAGGAATGTTAGGAAAAGTTGTAATTTAACTTGCTGTGAAGTTAGGTCTTATTAAGATCTCTTGGGGACTGCTCGCTTCAATGTTAGTACGAGGAACAATGTTAGGGTTACTTGTGCTCGTACAGCAACTTCTACCTGCCATTGTTCATTGGAAAGCAGTAGGTGTTGTTTTAAAATATTTTCAGAATTCAAGAAATAAATAGTTTCTGTAGGTTTTTTACATTTAACATGAAATGTAATTTATAACAGAGGGCCTTTTTTGCGGCGGGGTGGTGTGTCGGACTCGGACCGACTAAAACCACACGGTGTGCCACTCTGCGCCTGTAGTAGGAGGGCTCCGGGAACAGCTGTTATTAAGACATCCGGACCCCTCCTAGCGCCTGCCCGCAACGGCGCGGGCACCACCTTCGGTAAACTCTCTATTTAGGCGACGTCCGGCACACGCGGACGCCGCCCCCTCGCGGCTGGCCATACTAATGCGGGTGGAGGGGAAACCCATCCCGTCCACCCGCGGCCACACTCAGGGCGGCATGAGGCGCAGGTGAGCCCGGGTCCGAGTGGAGGTCGTCCTCCCGGGCCTTCTCCGCCGCCTCCTTCTGCGAGATTACTTCCTCGCAGAAGGTTGCGACCGCGGTGAAACAACTGTCGCTACCGGCCATGGAGCGTACTACGGCCGGTAGCGAGAGATCCACTCCGATGACTGCAGTGAGGGCCCGACGCTGCGTCGCCCATGCGGGGCAGACCGCCAGCGTGTGCTGGGCCGAGTCCTCACTGCAGTCGCAGTGGTGGCAGGCGGGACTCAGTTCCCTCCTAGCGACCAAGTGCAGGTACTTTCCGAAGCAACCGTGCCCGGAAAGCACCTGCGTGAGCCGGAAGGTAAGGGTCCCGTGCTGCCGCCCTGCCCACTCGGCGATGACCGGCTGGAGAGCCGCCACGGCGGCGAAGCCAGCGCGTGGAGTCTCCTGCCGGAACGACCAACGAGCCATCGTGGCTCGGCGAGCGGCTTCGCGCCACTCGCGCACGTCTTCGGGCGGAGGGCGAAATCCGCTCTCCGCCCGGGAGTCAGCCACTCGCCGATAAACTTCGGCGAGCACTTCCGCCTCCAAATCCCACGGGGGAGTTCCGGCCAACGCGCAAGCCACTTCCGTCGAAACGGTGCGGTAACCGCGTATGGCTCTGACCGCCATTACCCTCTGAGGGCGCCAGAGGCGTGCCGTATTCTGGGCGGTCAGAGCCGCCGCCCACACCGGCGCACCGTATAGTGCCATTGACCGGACAACCCCCGTGTACAGCCGTCTTGTCGCGACGCTGGGTCCACCCAAATTGGGCAAAAGTCGCCCTAGGGCAGACGCAGCGCCGACCAGCTTTGGAGCAAGCTGTCGGACGTGCTCGTCGAAGAGCCACCTCCCGTCGAGGATCAGGCCCAGATATTTCATCTGGGCCCGAACCGGTACGAGGACCGAGTTGACCACGATTGAGGCGCCAGGGGGTGGACCACGACGGGGCCCATGAAATAAGAGAGCCTCCGTCTTATCTAGGGCCACCCGTAAGCCCAGCGCCTCAATGCGCCCGACCACCAGGGAGACTCCCCTTGTGGCCAGGCGCGCCGCCTTTTGGAAGTTCGCCCCCCGGGCTGTCACCAGAGTATCATCTGCGTAACAAATTACACCCAGCCCGGGGGGGATATCGGCTCGAAGGGCCCAGTCGTACCCTATGTTCCACAAGAGGGGTCCAAGAACAGACCCCTGTGGAACACCGCACGACATGGGCCGACACTTCGAATTACCATCTCGGTCCTCGTACACGACGGTACGCTCCCCTAAATAGTCTGCCACTAGCCGCCTTAGGTACTTTGGCACCCCGTGATAGTGGAGTGCTTCCCTGATGTAGCTGAATGGCAG